AAATTAATCCACCTGCCGGTGCGGTTTCTGTCGTTAAAAGGGGAACAAAACAGCCGGAACGACTGGAGCTCGATGCTAATTCGTTCCGCTTTCTCGTGACTCGTGATTCCACCGGCCGTTTACATACCGTTGATAATTTTCCTGCTCGGAGATACAGAAAATTGGCCGTTCGATAATAGGTCATGATCTATCGTTCAATTCGATCGTGAAATCGGCACGTTTTTCACCTCCGATATTTTACACGTGAATTCAGACGAACGACTCGAGAGCATCGAAGCATTGCGACGAAATTCCACCACGCGATCGCATCGAAGATGATGGATCATCGTTCGCCGTGATTTCTTTTCAACGGTGAACGAATCTATCCCGCATCCATCATCTTCGTGCCGACAAGGAAACGTCTCGAGACGAAGGGAGGAAAGGAATTGCTCGATACGTTTCCTCGTTTAGAATCCGAGTGATCCGCGTGTGAAGAGTAAGAGAATGAGAAAGATCGCGGGACAAAAAGCAAACGAAAACTCAACAGTGTGCACGAGGACCGCGGGGAGGAGGATCGTCGACGAGCTAGCGGGCAAACACGTGGCGGCGGCGAGGTAGCGGGCCTGGAGGACGCCGGCGATTGCTGCGCCGCGACGCTGACGCCGTCGGTCCCAGGCGCCGCCGGCATCAGGTCGAATCGCCGCACGAGGCCGCTCTCCCTTGCGGTGCAACCACTTAATTATCGTCGCCTCGATCCGGACCCGAAAATCGTCATCGACATCGTCAACAGCCATCATCCTAACATGACTAGCCAGGAGAGCATCGGCAGCTGCAGTCTGGACGTCGATCAATCCGCGTCCGACCGATCAGGTTGGCTATCTCCGATAGATCTAGCGTTTTACAGGGGGGCAGAATCTGGTCTGTGTAGTTTTTCTCACGCGATGCATTCTTCCTGCTCTATCGAGGAGCAAGTTAATCAGGAAGTAGACGGGTGCAAAATTTCATCGATCAGCTGAACCACGTGTTTAGCGCTTTGTCGGCTGCGCCAGAAATTCCGCCATAGTTGCAACTTGTAACCGTAACAGTGTACTGCTAGTCATTTCGAATGGTCTTTTACGAGGAGTTTACGGCCAACAGAGTGTTAAATACGCGCGTTTAAAGTTAGCTGGAACATACCTCCGAGGATTTGGAGCATAACTGCTGGAATCTAGGGGTCATCCTCGGATGACCTTGCCCTTGACACGTCGAGGGCCTAGCAAAACGACACGTTCATCAGCCCGCGCGACGAATTTTAGGCGAGACGATCTTGGAACGTTCAAGGTTACCGGTTCCCTCCACCTTCTTGCGGATCGTCCCTTTTTGTTCGGCCCCGCGGTGCCGATCGAATTTAGATCGTAGGCGAGTGCAGCAAGTGCAGAGCACAGCTTCTTTCTATCGTCAGTGCCAAGAAGAGCCGAGGAGATGTAGAGAGGCGGTTTCGTCTCTTTTGCACCGTGACTCGGCCAGCCTCTTGCCATTCCAGGGTTATTCCTGTGTCGCATTTCGAACGGGCACGTTTCAACCTTTCCGTGGTCTACTCGTATCTGTGTCTATTATCCGCCGGGCAAACGCTTTTCCATATCGGGCAGTTTTCTTTCATCCTTCATGGGACTCGTGCTCAAGTGTATCAATTGAATCGTGCATTCGACTCAATGAAACATCCGCGTCAAGCCTAAACGCGGAGGTTGCGGTTAGCATTGCGTGCTTTCGTATCAAAATTATCATTCCGCCTGGCATAATAATTATTAACGTCTAGAGTGCGAGAAACAGGCTGAGATATTGTATCAGGGAAACATAGAACATAAACGTAGGCCTTGGCTTCTGTTGGAGCAAGCCTCGTAAGTCCAATAGAGGATTCTGCTTTACAGAGAACACCGTAGACAGTATATCCAAGAAGGCGTTGCACAGTCTGAATTTGTCTTGCAACGGTGACTCGGTTTCTTCGCCGGAGAATCTGGCAAACGGTAGCAGTGAAACGCTGCAAAAGTCCAATTTAACGCCAGATGAGAAATTAAACGTTAGCAATGGTCATCGAAGCAGCCCAGAACCAGAGCAGCTGACAGTGAAGAAACCGAGTTACTTGGGCCTGGCTTGTAGCATCAGTGGCTATTCGGGGATTAATAGATACGACAGTAAACTCAGGGAAGGATTTCGATCGAGGGATAGCAGCCCTGGGACCAGGTTGATCACCAGAGATACCAGCCCAGCAGGTTTCAGGTAAAATATCCGTTAACCGAATTGCAACGTTCTTGCCTGCTTCTTCATCTTCCGTGTGACTCCTTTTCGAGACCGATAACCGTTCAAATGTTTCAGATCAAACGAAAATCTTAACGTGCCAGCGCACCCTTATCCGCCTAAGAGTCAATCGATCTCGCCCTTAGCGATGGATAGACAAAATGGTTTCTCGAACGGTCTGAAGGAGGAATGTAAGGTGGAGGCTTACAGGGAGTCCAGAACCTCGATAGGTATATGTCAGGGTTACTCCGAAGTTGACAAAGGCGTGTTGCATACAGCGTTTCCTGATATAAGTCCGATGCGAGCTTCTACACCTACGAAACGCAGTCCTGGAATATCGCAAATTATGTCTTGTAGTCAACAGAATAAACATTTCTCAGTGTCGACATCGAAACAAACTACTGCTAATCGTGAGTAACTCCGCAATGGTCCTAGACGGTGTTTCGGAGAGATAAGTTTCCGTTACTTATAAATCGTTTGCAGTTTCCACCACTTCGTTTAGCGATACTAGTATATTAAACGGGACGACGGAGGAAGTAGAGAGCCAAGTGGTTAACAACACCACGAGCAGCGAGAAATCATTCATTCAACAACGAGTAGAACGGCTCTACGGCCCCGGAGCTCTCGCTCAGGGATTTTTCTTCAAACGCAGCACCAGCAGACACAACACCAGCGATACCAGTTTCAATAAGTCTAGTAACAATAACGACGTGTCCACGGAAAATGCGAATACCGAAGAATCCCTGAAGAATTTACCAGTGTTGAGACATTTGAGACCAGAGTTCCGAGCTCAACTTCCTGTGGTTAGCCCTAGAAGACCCACGGATGGCTCGGAACAAATTCTAAAGCCTCTGCAAAGGTATCTATACAGCGTGGACTCGCTGAGACGATGTTAAAGCGACGATACGGGTACAATTTCGCGTATTTTTATCATCAGGGTAACGCCGGTATCGCGGAAAGTTGAGGCGAAACCAAAAATACCTGCTGCCTCGAATTTAGACGGGAGTCTAGCGGATAGTAGCGCGCAAAAGTTGAATTCTAGTGTGACCAGCATCCCGGATCAGCAGCCAGCTGCACCAAAAGTAGTCTTACCTGTCTTAGAACCGAGCGCCAGCTCGACAAACGTGGCGAAACAGGTTCAGGAGGCGGAGAAAACGGCCGAGGAGAAAGATGGACATTATTTCATGAAGGTACGCTTAACTGGAATAAAGTGTAACCATACAAAAAAACGTTTACTGACATTCTTTGGTCGATTGTTATAGTTGCTGAAACAGGAGACGGACAGGCTGCTCTCGTTAGCTGCATCAGCGGAAGCGGAGTTGGCCGCTAGCGATACTGTTGCACTTCCGGAAGAGGCAGCCGGAAAACTGCGCTCAGCTGCGGGTAAAGCAAGACTGTTGGCTTCGCAGAAAATGCAACAATTCGAGGGACTGTGTCAGAAAAATATCGTAAGTCTTCGTTTACTTCCCGCTGATACAGTCAACTCCCAAACGATATTTATTCTCCTGAATGTTTCTCACTGGTTTTCAGAATCAGGTGCCTGGAGAGGAGTTCCCAACGACGAACGAGGATCTGGCAGGCTTTTGGGACATGGTGATGCTGCAAGTGGTTCAAGTAAACGAGCTATTCGATCACATAGAAAAGTTACGAAAATCTCAATGGCAAGAGGTATGTCCAGATTCTGTTAACCCTCAGGCAACCCGTTCCTCAGAGTCTACCGAAAGAAATTTTCACTTTCCTCACAACGCCGATTACGTGAAACCAACTGTACTGCATTCCCATAGATCCTTCTCGCACTTTGTTAAAGATAAACATGTTCGATTCGATACTGCAACGTTTAGCGAGCCGGAAGAATCGAACCGTGTCAAAAATGATTCTTTCATCCCCCAAATATCTGAACAGTTTTCGCTCGAAACACGTATATGCGACGATGCATTTCAGATTTTAACTCTACCTCAAGGTTTACAAAAAAATAAAAATTATTTTTATGACTCGGATCATGATAATTGTAATCCGTTTCTTTCTGAAAGCATAAGCGAAATACTGTCGATAGAAGATGATAGTTACATTATTAATCCGTGTACTTCGTATATCGTGAATTACGCGAATATGTTACTGCCTGATGCACGTTCGTTTCATTTTGAAAATCATACGCAAACACCCTTCGATTTATATTCTCCCAATGACGTTCCTGAAAAAGATTCCTCGCCAAAATTTGAAGTAATATATAAAAAGAAAGTCGCTCGTTCGAAAGAACCGAAAGACGATGAATTTTTATACGAGCCAGAAAATATCTATTTGGAATCGTTCGCAAAAGATAGGCAAACCTGTAAGGAAGAAAAGGAAAGCAATATATCCAGTGCGAAGAATACTTCGTCATCCTGTAAAAGGATGGTGTCTAAAAGGATGGTTGATAAGAGGAAAGAAAACTCGCGATCGAAAGCTAAATCTTGTAGCCCGGCAAGGAGAAATCTGTACCCAGAGAACAAGACCCAGATAAAAAATGATCGAAAAATGAGATCGCATACTGCAGAAAACAAGCGCCGAAAAAACGATTCAATTAAGTCAGGTATTGGCGACGAGCAAAAGTCTTGTAATTTAAAACCAGTCATTACCCGCAAAAGGGACAAAGAGAAAGTAGCCGTTCCATCAAAAAATGACAAGTTTCCTTATAAACCTGAACGCAAAGATAGTGTCAAAAAACTTGTACGTAGCGTTACGTTTTCAAACGATGTTAAGGAACAATTGCCAATAAGGAAGAACGTTTCGTCGGGATACTGTAACGCTGATAAAATTAATAAACCGTTTACAAGGAATACATCGTTCGCAAAGTCGGAGAAGAAGATTCAGATGTCAAAAATGAAGGACGCTGAAAAAATGAATCGTAATTGTAATAAAAAATGTAATCTTTCCATCGTTAGCGAAATGTGGTCGAATCTGGAATTTTTGGGCGATAAAGACAAATTGCAGGAGAAATCCGATGTACCCAATGAGAATCATACTTCTTCTGGAACGTGGAAGACAAAAACAAGCGTAAAAAGAGAGCAGGCAAAAACATTGCCCCAAAAAATTGAGCAAGATGCAGAAGTTTCATCTGAAGTGTCCAGTGACATCATTTGGAGACTAAGCGATTCCAAACCTTTCATTCCACTGTCCCAAGAAACTCTACGTCAATTGAGACGAGCGTACAACATTGAGATTCAGTCGAACTTGACTTCAACAGTGAACAAATGGGAGAAATTAGAAAGGATGAAGATTTACGACAAGAAAAGAAAAAAGATCTGCAAGTCTCAAGAAGACGAACCTTCGAAAAGAATTATTTCTCGTAGAATCACCTCTAATCCTCTGAATAATCGTTTAAAAAATGATTTTATCAAGCAATTTGCCACCACAGGCACGAATTCTGTAAGCCTGCGGGATAGTTTCGAAACGCTGAGCAAAATTGTAAATCCCATTCGTCAAAATCATGATCTATCGATCCAGTGTTTAATTTCTCCCACTGAAGTGACGCCCTGTCTAACGAATGCCAAAAATCAATCGACTGTTGTTATCGATGATCTGCCAAATATTTCTCAATGGTCAACAAAGGATGACGAGATACCTAATTTCCTATCTACTTTAATATCTTCCTTGAGCTCTGATATTGTATCCAAAGTCGCGAAACACGATAGATCGGAATTAAAAACTGGCGTTAGCATTAAGAACCTGAGTTGTAGTTTAATTAGGGAAAATATAGACTCGTCTAATATCAGTGCGAATGTCCTCGTGGACATTTCGCAACATGTTCGTTCAGACTTTGTTGTTCGTTCGTTACCTGATCGCAGAAAGGGAAAATGTATCGAGCCCGTTGATTTCGACAGCTATTTGCCGTTGAAGAAAGGTTTTAGCGTGAATCACTATTTAGAAGATTTAAAAGGTATGCAATTATTTCCCAAGAATGTCGAATTTCACGCGAATACTTCAAGTATAAAGAGTTTCTCTCTCAGAATGAAGCACGTGTATATGTTCCTCAAGTCGAATCGAACCCTTTGTCGATTATCGTTGTATTTGTACTTGTACGGTATTCTGAGTCTTGCCTTTATATATCTAAATATGAACTGGTTGGACGAGAAGGTTGTAAATCCGAAAATTTTATATAATTTGTATTAAATTAATCTCACAGTGACAGCGATCGAATGTACCCCCTTGCATTTGTAGAATAAAAGTCCTCCTCTTCTGTCTCTGGTATTTCTTTAAACTCTTCTTAGAGCACAGAAGTAATGGAGATTAAAAAACCTGTTTGTACCGGAAGAACTATATATAAGAAGTCCAAGCCGGATCATGTTTCCATAAGTACGTTTTCCTTATTAACTACCTTATAATTCCACTATTCAGGTCTTTTATTTTCGTTTCTTTCCAACTTTCCAGCCTGTTTCCTGACTCTGCTCGACTCCTCTCGATCTATGACATAATGATACCGCTGCTCGCGGCTGTTAATGGTTGAACTGCATTTTTCAACTCTTTTTTTTTAGACCGTGCCAGAGAAAAAGGTAGTCGCTTCAGCTCCGCAAAATGGCAGCACGGCGAAACGCCGCGTCACGCCTATTCACAAACCAAAATCCACGGCTAATAGCGAAGCAAACAAGAAGGCAAGGGAGGCGAGGGAACAGGCTCGAAGGCAACTGATCGAGGAAAAGAGGCGAGCGATGCGCTCGAATGCGCAAAATTCCGAGAATACCGTGAAGATCTTCGCCCCCGATACGTAACGATAAAAAGGGCGACGAATCTGTCGAGCAATTCGTAGCAGCGTTTCTGGTGACGCTTATGCCTCGAGCCAAATCAAACCGCGGTATTTTTTATGCATTTTCTTAAACAACTCGAACCTCGAGCAGACTGACGAATAATTCTCGAAGGTTCTTAATTGGCGATTAATACGATGCTCGTTGTTGCGTTTGTGCCCACCAGGCCCATGTTATTAATAGTTCGACGACAATTAAGCGTCATTCTGCTCGGTCTGGAGTTGGCTATAAACAATTACCGATATGCTTCGACTACAATCAAACGCGCTTTATATCGTTGATAGAGTTGTGCGCTGTGGAGCACCACGCGAGCAATAAGAGCGACTCATGGTATATAATTGCTAAATATTTAGGGTGATCGATTTTTTTTAGACATTGACAGTTGGAAAATGCAAAAAGGAAATGGATCGATCGGGGGATTATGTTTTTAACGATTTTACGATATTTTATTATGGTGTTCTCGCCTCACGCTCTACACATTCGTTTCACTTCGATTTACACGCTGTGATGTTTCGTGCTAATCTTGTTACGTTTTATATCAATTTACGCTGTCGTTCGATTTGTACGATATTTAATGTCCGCTCTATGGACGGAATAGCACAGTAACGTTGAGCATCTTCAGCTCTTTGTTTCACGTTTCTTTTGTAAGATACTACGTCGAGAGAAAATCGATGGAAGAAGTTATTCGATGAGGGGGAAAAATGAAAACGAGCAAGCCAGAGTAAATGACTGAAGAGAAAATGAATCGCGAATATGTTTCAATTTTCGTGGCTGAATAAACGGCATAAGGAGACTGCCCCTTGCACGTAGAAATTTTTCACGAGGATGCTAAAACGAAGTTACTCGAGCAGGGCTGTCAGATCATGTTTCCGTATTGCGTTTCTACGTTCGCGAGTAACTTATATTTATACTAATTGCATGGTGAACGATCGACGATCGCTGGTGAACTGGAACAATGAATAGAATGACGATAGAAGAGTCCATAATTAATCGTGGAAGTTAGTCACAACTTAGAGAACTTAATAAGCCTGGTTCTAGGGTTTCTGAAGGCAGGATATACTCGAAACACATTGGTTGCCTCGAACTAGGTGCAATTCTTATCGCGTAGTTCGTGTATATAATATTAACGATCGTTTAAAAAAGAAAGAAATGATCATTTGCTCGCCTAATAAGTTCTGTTTGCAAAATGTCGACGAACGATCGAGATCGGAATAGGATCGTGAGTCACGGATCGAACCGGAAAGATTCCTATTATTTTTATTACCCGTATGGTTTTTGTAATGTCTTATTGATATTGTTATCTTAAATCGAACGTTATTTTGGTCGCGTTAACACCTCTCGCGAGGAAATCGGTCCCGAATGATATCGTAATCGTGAATTGATTTTGCGAATTACGTGAGAGACAAAAGGTGAAAAGATTCGACAGAGTCCTACCGCGAAATCGTCGTGTGGACCCACGTTTGTCTAAAGCTGACATTCCCGTAGAGACGGTCTCGAGACACCCGATAGTTTAATTCCCATGTTAATTTTAAGGTGTATCTGGTAGATAAGCTGACGTTAGCAGGTGTAACTAGAGCTCGTCCAACCAAATAACACGCGCTACCTAATTGAATACTCGGTATGGCGAGTGTGTCGCGATTTTCACGATGGTACCGATTAATACGCTGGCGAATTTCAATTCCGGGCGCGTTGGAAGCAAAGGAGACGAAAAAACGTAATAAAATGGGAGATGGAAAGAAAATTTTTCGAAACGTCGTTCCGCTCGCAAATATGGAGGAACAGCCCGCGTTATTTATTGACTGTTAATTCCCTTGGTGCCTTGATTATTTATACGTGTGTACATAAAATCGACTGACAGCCGACGATTCGACGCGATATCACGTTCGATCGCTTGTATCGCAGGCCGATCGAAGGACAACAAACGAGTCGATAAATTTTTTTTTTTTTTATATATATATATATATATTTATTGATCAGTTCGTTTGATCGGTTAATTTCGTCTCGATCGGGGAAAAAAGGAAAGAAGAAATCGGTATCTGTTTTGTTCTCATTTATCCGTTATGCCTAAAGAAGGAAGCAAATTTTAGTGACGATCTATTTTAGATTTTTTAGCAAGTCGACCAGGATCTTTTGTAAAATGTCATCGTGCGCGAGTAGCGATTAATTTTTTTAATGCAACAACCGTGTGCCGCGAGCGACTGTATATAAGCGTGAGAGACTATTGTGTGGCTGGGAGAGCGTGCGACTGCAGGCAAATTAATCGTGTAATTTACAGAAATCGATATGTATCGCGTAGATTGGCCAGCACGACAGAATTCACACGTATCGCAATCCTTTTTACTCTATTAGTTCTCTTCGTTCTTACTCGTTAGTTGCATATACCGTTTACGTGTACAGTCCGCGTTTAGGGGCTCACCTTAATCCATACGTAGTAATTTATATTCAGAACAGTTCCCCGTCGCTTCTTTTGTAAGAATCGTACGCCGCAAAGCTTTTCGAATGATCGATCCAAAGCGTATACGAGGGTAATCGTCGTGACAACCACAATTATCGTGTTTTTTAAACGTTTTACTTCGATTTTTTAATTCTTCGAAAATTTAACCAGAGGTGACTACGTTATCCTTTATTTTATTTTATTTAAAAAAGAATTGTTTTTTAAGGAAAAGATTATCCTGTGTTTCTAATTCATAAGAAATCAAACAGCTTTCCGGAAACGTCAGGAAGCGCAAATTTTTTTACTTACCTTTCGAATCGGTTCGATGTCGGTTAAACCCGTCGACTATTGAACGTTCCCTTTTTCTTTTTTACGCGAATAAACAATTACGATTATTTATTTATTAGATACTAGTAAGCTGTCCATACACTTGTTCTCAATGAATTAATAAAAAATGAAAGACATACGTGTAAATTTATTTTCAGCAAGCGCGCTGAAGGAGCACGAAAAGAGCGAGAATCACGGAGAGACAAGTTTTTAACAGCATCCTTGAATTATTTTATTCCTTATACGTTATTATTCTTCTCTTGTATCTTATGTCCTACGAATATCTGTTTCATGTACATTTATTTGTATACAAATCGTCAGTAGCAAAGTACGGTCAGTTGTACCTTTCTTAAAACAACTAAAATGTTATGCTCGAGTGGAAAATCTGGGAAAAAGTAATTGGCACAGAACAGATTCATTTCTGCGATAAGTACTCGATCGAACAGAGGTTCGATGACCCTGTACAAAGGATCATCGATGTTGATCCTGCGACCGTGATTTGGTCCCACGTTGAATTTTCTCCGTTCCTCTCGTTACATCCGACGAATCCAAGGAAAAGAAGGATTGCCTGGTCCTTTCCCTGGCAAACGAAACGTGGATATTTGGAAATCAGCGATGAAATACGTGCCCCAGGTTTTCTCGTTTCACGCGAGGCAAATCAAAGTTTTGCCCTCGTTCATCTTGTCCTGAACTTTGTCACTGGCCGTGGACTTCTCCGCTTGTCCGCTGATCACTGCGCAAACAAACGTCAGCCCAACCCCTGTCACGGCGCTATAGAAAGCCCAACCTAAGGGACGAAACATTTTTCAGCTATAAATATTAGCTTACAGCTATAAATAACGCGCATAAAATATACAAAGGGGCTAAAGCGAGAGATGCTCCCTATTCTGTACGTTCTCATTTGAAATTTCTACTACCTAGGGTGCACTCGGCGAGGTAGAAAGCGTCAGCTTCCGGTCCACAGATCCTCTGAACCCTTTCTGCACCCCAGCCGGCGGGATACAGAATCATTCCCAACAAGTAAGATATTCCTGTTGGCAGAGGAATAAATAGCATTGTGAAATACTTAAAAAATGGCGAGACGATTAATATCGAAGTCTTATAGCGGAGTGTTACCAGCAATAACTTGCGCGACACCAGCCAAGTTGAAGATGCTCTTTCTGCCAATGCTCTGCATGCAGCAGCCAACCAACGCTGCCAACACCGTCATTGCCATGATCGCCAAACCAAGAGAGAGGAAGAAGTAAGAGGCTTTCCAGCAGCCTGGAAACACACTGGAATCCGTGGCGAAGCCATCCACGTTGAAATTCGCGCAGTGAGTTTTCCCGTGTAGCCTGATGCAACGATTGAAGATTCCGACCGTTGGTACGAACAATTCTGATTCATTCTCTGATAATCGAAAGAAAATAATCGATAATAATAACAAAAACTCTTCTAATTCTTCGTTTCACGTAGTTCCCTCTTCGCGCATAAACGGTGGACGATTCTACGGGAAAGGTTTACAGAAAGAGCCTAGAATCTCATCGAGGTAAAAGCCAGTCATTAATATTCTCATCCACGTTAAACACGTTATTAAGTATAATTCGATCTTTGACCAGACAGTAGTTCTACGAGTACGGACTAAATAAGGGAAAACAATTACTTGTCTCTTTCATCTGCGGTCCAATCAGCCATTTCGGAGTGATGAGGCCCGATAAAACCGCCATTAACGCCACCAGGGACAACAGCGTCCACAGCAAGCTACGACCAGTGACTATCACATAGCACATGCTGCCGTCCAATTGTAGGTCTATGCCATCCTTCGAGCTCTAATCTCCTGCTGTAAAATTTTACGTCAGTTTCGCGACTAGAATCATTTCTCCGATCTCCGTCTACTCTCTCTAATTAAACCCGTTCGCCGTTCGATACGTCCGATGGAAGCTCGATCGATCGCGTTCTCGATGTACTCGAAAAGATGACTCGGACGATCCGTGGACACTCTTATCGCGATTCAGTGGACTCGAGGGGTCAACGAATCGACGATCGGGCGCAGAGTTTCGGGCAACTGCGCGAGAATAAATGCCACTCACATATATTTCGGGGAAACGTTACATACGGCCCCTTTCCCGCACAACCAGCGAACAGACCAGCATTAAAACTAAAGTCGTAAGCTCGACCCTGCACCTCCTCCTCTCTTTTTTCCCTCTCGCGTTACCGGTTTCGATTTTTTATTCCGATTTCGCGTGAATCGTAAACTCGTGCCCGCCAACAAAGCACCCTTTTCTTCTGGCTGCTCGTGAAACAACGAGCACGCTCGCTTTGATCCCGGTCGATTCGGATCCAATCGATTTCGATCGGATGGAAAGGATACGAAGGTTTCTTCGAGTCTCCGCGACGTCGCGGTTAGAATTCCCGTTTAACTTGGGTTTGACAGCACAGCTTGACAACTCTGCCGATACTTCCTCTTCGAGAAAGCAGCAGAAACCTCTATTCCTTACACGGAAGTAGGAAGACTTTTCGATGATAGTACCCAAGGATGAAGGAACTCGCTCCTTCCTCGTACGTTCGATCGCGATACCTTTTAATATGCGATTCGCGTTGCTACGTCCAGCAACTCTTCGTCTTTCGATGCGACCAAGAGCCATAGCTGGAGAGATCGATCGGAAACTTTCCTCTCCCTCAAAACTGACCTATTTCGCCTTCTAACTTTGGATCGACCTAGGTTTGGGACCCTTGCACGATCTACTGGGCGGTGGCCCTTCGTCGTCGAACGCGCGTGCTCCTTCTCCGCGACCCTCGAGATTTTGGATCCCCTTTAAACCCGCGAACTTAATCGCTTTCATTCCTCCGCGCCAGATGAACGATTTCCTTTGAAGCTGCCGCGACGTGGCGAATCGGTAGGCGATACGACGTGATCTTCGTATGAAAAGGGACCTCCTAGTCCACTCGGAGCCCTATACCATCCTTTTCCTTTTCTTATCCGTAGACCAAAGAACGCGTAGAATTTTGTATCGCTTTTTGTCCGACCATTGCGACATTCCCTCGCCTAGACACGAGGAGGAGAGGGATTTAGTGGAGGAAAAAATGGAAGAGTAATTGGATTTTTTGTCCAATAGGGAGGTAGATGATAGGTCGTACGCGTGTTTCTATCGAGAGATTAAGAGATAGATTAGACGGAAAGAGTATCGAAATGAAAGAGACGCCGAGCAATAATTGCGTCGCCCTCGGGAGTAGCATGGGGAGCAGCGATGTTTAATTAAATTCGTTTCACGCTGTACATCTGCCGGTCTTATTTTTATCATTTCTTGCGCGCGACCTCCTCGAGAACCACTCGAGCGCCTGGGTTTACTTAGGATTGCCCCTTAATCGCTGTTTGTATTTATACTGTCTCCAAGTTCACGTTGGATTTAATGAATCCCCGACACCGGAAGCGTTGATTCACCGCGGCATTAGAAACTCGTGACCTCGCGAAGGAACAAGTTGGAGCAATCTTGTTTCGACATCGAACATCTGTGGCGGGAGTAAAAAGCACGTGGCGTTCGGGCGATTTTTTCCTTCTCGCCAATAAGTATCTCGCGTTAGAACGTAAAAATGCTTCGCATCTATCACGTGACGTTAGTAAACCGCGGTCCGAGTTAGCCGTTCGAAGAAGAACGGACGAGATAAGGCCGATCAAAGCTCGCATGTAGGCCGACTGCCGTTCGACGGACAGGCTGTCTTACTTTTTTTCTATTTTAATCGTTGCGTTCATTGTTGTGGCTTGCCACGCCTTCACGGAGTGCAGTAGGGGCCCATTGTCTCGCCGTGAGTCCCCTTACTGAATTAATTTTCGATGTTTAATTCGTTGGAAGGGATCAGGTCAGAGTAATGGGCCTCCGAGCTATGTGGAACGAAACCTTACTGCGTCGAATGACCGATCGGATTAAAATTCGATAGAATTTCCATGGGATACGCGGGGCCAGTTCAGTCTACGCGTGTTAGTCAAGGTGAAAAGGCAGAAGGGAGAAAGAGAGAGAGTTGGTAGAGAGGAGCAGGATTTCCGCGACATTCGCGAATTTCTTTCTCGACTCGCGCATCGCGGAATGCGATATCTTTCCTTTCCTCTCTCTCTCTCGTTGTGGTCCCTGTGGACGAGAAGCTCCGACCATTAGTCATCCAGCAATGGGTCCTCTGTCCGGCAGCTCGTTATCAGAAAGGCGTATGTCGACGGCCAGTGCGAACTCCACACTCGTAAATTCAAATCACACATTTCCGGCCCGCGACTGTTGCTTCACGAGGCTTCTTTATTCTCCAGGAGCAAACAGGATCTTTAATCCTGCGTTTTTTAATGTCTCTATAAAAAAATACAAATCCTCCTCTTCGTCACCTTCGCACGTTTAATCCTACGTCCTTGGAGGCTGGCTTCCTCAGAGTTCGATTGCGGAAACTCGCGGCGAAAAGTTCCGAAGGCACGTCGAAATTCGCGCGATACAAACTTGCCAACGTTTAAAACAATGGGCGTTTGATTACAGAAACACGAGACACCTACTCGTTGCATAATCCAACGACGATGCAGACCATCTGCAAGGCAGCTGTTGGACAGGTGCTCCCTTACTTCTCCAGTCTCTTGTTTTCGTCCCCTCTTCCATCCAAAGATCCTCCCAGGCTCACCTTCTTCTTCTTCTTCTTCTTCTTCTTCTTCTACTCCTACTCCTACTCCTTCTCCTCCTCCTGCTCCTTTCCTCGTTTTCTTTTACCTGCCTGCTAGTGGCGTGCACACCGTCGATTTTATCCGTCGGTAATTTATCGTGATTTCAACCGTTCGTGGCCGATTAAATATTTTGGAAAAACGATTCCGCGAAGCCCGCTCGTAATTCCTCGGACGACGAATATTCCGACACCGTATAAAACCGTAAATCGGCGACGCGAGCATCTCGAGTAACGCTTCAGGTGTCCACGAAAGATTTCCCATCGTCGAAGGCACACACGCGTTCCATACGTGGTCCCCCTTTTACCATTTCGTCGATTTTTAATTCGAGGTTTCGTCGATGGCGGATTACCAGGCTGAATCCCCTTTTGTTCACGGGCAGATTTACAATTTCGTAGAACGATTTGCGTTCCTGGAACAGCCACGCCTATCTCCATGAATCTCTTTCGAAAGGGCTGCGGCATTTGGCATTCCTCGCCGGGTGTATTCTTTATAAAAACGTGGGAGGTGTTGCGAGTATTGTAACGTTTCCATCGGTATGCTTTTCCATCGTGCCGGCCGGCCAAATTAATCGCCATTAATCACAAACCGTTTCGCCCCTCTCGAACGCTCGAATCACCGTCCTCTTTTTCTCTCTCGTCCTCGTCGATCTTTCCGTCGATCTCTCCGTCGATTCGCCTTCGATCGAGCGATCGGAGAAGCGTTGCATAATTCACACGCTGGCCATTCACGCGCGAAGTGGTTACCGGATGTACCATGCGTCGATTCGGCCGAATGTAAAGGGTTAATCGCACGGTTCGACGAAATTACTTCCGAGGCGAAATCCTATTTACGACAGCCTCGTGATAACAGTTCGATCCTAGGCGCCTTTCCAGTGGAACGACCGCGGAGATAATTAAGGTACCACGAGCAAGACGACCAGGTTAACGGTGATTTCCAGCGCATCTAGCTAGGCCCGGCAATTAAGATAATCGCCGATCGCGCGCTTCGACTACGCGTCTCTGCCAGGTCTCCACGGACCCCGTCGTGGATATCGATACCTGGAATTCTTTCGAGATTTTTTATTCCGCTGAATCTTTCCCAACTACCAACCCGCTGCCTGTCACGCTCCTTCGAAACACGGATAGATTCGAGATTAAAATACCGAGCGTGTGTCCCGGAGTGGAAGCCACGCGTGCCTCGTCTTCCTTTTCCCTTTCGATCGGTCACCATTAACTCGCTGTACACGAAACACGCGGAAGGTTCGTTCGGAACACCGGTATCACGTTCGGCTAGATCGTAGAATAAAGAAGCTGCGCATGCTTCTATTTTTCCCGCGGTCGACGCTTTTCATTCCCTCGCGCTCGGTTCCCATCTTTTCTGCCCTCCCTTCTTTCCTTCTCTCTTCCATTTGTTCCTGCTAGTCCCGGCTGGTTCGAGACCAGCATAGCCAGTCGCTGTGTCATCGAGCCTCGATACATCATAAATATAAATTGGTTTCTGGATACGTGTTGGTACAAATGGGACTGCGTACGCGGCGCACACGCGTCCGCGAAAGTCGTTGGCATACGCGCGCGGCCTATGGCTACGTTCCGGAATCTTAATGCTCCACGAGGCAACTCGCACGCGGAAAATGACGAATGAATCGCACCACGAATTTCGCGACCATCGATTTGCCAGCCGGCTCGTTACTTTTCATTAACCGACTCCCCCTATCCTCAGTCCTACCATTGTCCTTCGGTTGTCCTTCGTCGTCCTTCGTCGTCCTTCGTCGTCCTTCGACATCGAGCCGATATCTCGCGTGGCGAAGGTCGCGTCATTATTCTCGTCGGACAATGCGAGTTTCCGAATGACGCGGTTTATTTAATTGCAATAGGTCCGCGATAATGGCTGCCCGCTACGGTGGAAGTCGCAAGTGGGCATTTCCTGAAGATCGCGATAAGTCCGTCTCGTGCAAAGTGCTATGAACTCGGCTTGATAAATCTAAACGAATCGCGCGATAAACTCTACCGGTCGCGTTTAGACCTTTAGATGTTTGAGAAGCAACGGATATTACGAATTCTGCCGTTCCGGCGGGGTACGCGCGAACGTGCTGGAATAAGCAACCGCTGGAGGAAACTCGAATCCGTGCTGTCCCCGAGGAATCCATTCTGTTCCTCGGGTACCTTCGGCTTCTGATTCCTTGGAAACGCATTAACGAGCGATTACGAATCCATTCCAGATCGGTGAGATTGCCACGGGGGCTCGTTTTCTCGGTAGAAGCCGCCAACAACGCGGCTCGCATCGGCGCAGCCGGTCGGAAGATTAGAATGCATCGTGCATTCGCTTTCCGAACGACTTGCACGCGCGTTCCCATCGCCATGGCCACGAACCGAGTGTTCACCGAGGCTGAGGATCGCTAGGAATCACTCTCGGTTTCTCGCTGGTAAGTCAGCCTTCCTCCGAGTCGGATCTTCGAGAAGGTTTCTTCCAGGGGAAACGCGTATAATCGCTCGAGTGGATAACGGTATTCGGATGGCAATTTTTCGCACCATTTTAGCATTACCCCGTGCAATGACTCAGAGTAACACGGTTTGCGCTGGTGTACGTTGCACAGTGACGTAGTCGAATTAGTCAGACCACGGAAGAGTTCGGTTCGGCCAGTAGGTTCAGCCAGCAGAGAAATTCCCGCGTAGCTCTTTTCGCGTTAGAGACCAACCGCTACCATCGCTCCTTTGGTTATTTCTTGGTTTATTTGTCGGGGTTCTCGCATCACAGCCGTGCCGCGTCTGGCATTATTTAACGCGACGTCCCTCGAATCGCAATTAAAATGCTTTACGTCGAATTGTCGCGAGTAAACGAGAGGGGGCCTACCAACGAAAACCCACGAACCCGGTATCTTCGCTTCCGAACCGTGGCTCCTGCTTGGATTTTCCATTCACGAATCGTACGTGGAATATCATTTTCGCGAAATCATCGACCAATCGAAGGTCGTCGATGAACGCGAACCTCATCGGCGGCTAATTTATCGCGTTGGTCAATTAACCAACTAATCGACGCATCGTCTCGCGCGTTAATTAAGCATTATCGTGAAAATCCATTTGCGTGTGACCCAGTTTAAGAGCAGCGACGACGTCGCGCTATCTGCCGACAGAAATCGGGGAACTCCCCTTTGTTCGTGCAGCTCCTCTTCGGACACGAGTCGCCCGCATTCCTCCGTTAGGTACGTACCAGGAAAAAAGCAGCCAGAGCCCTCCTCTTGGGGAAAAAAAGAAAGAAAAGGTGAATTTACAGGCGAGCGTGGCCGTAATGTAGTCAAGCCTGCCAGTTCAAAGCGAGCTCGCGTACGAAGACGCGATTCGATTCACGCTTTGAAGCGTCTACAAAGAGCTGCACGGCACCTCGCACCGCTCGCAATTATTTTCTCCGCCTCTCTGCTCTCTTTTCCAGCAGCCAGACTTGCGTCGGTGTCGAATTTGTTCTCGTCGCGTTACCAGCGACGATTAAAAATCGAATCTCCAGAAATTCCTAGACCCTCGCCGGTATCCCTAGCCCCTATCTCTAGGTCCCTTGGATATTTCCAAAACCGCGAAATTCCTCGCCTCTCTCGCTCTCTCTCTCTCTCTCTCTCTCTCGTCGAAGATCATCGCGATTCGATCGAGAGACGCGCGTGGAATGCAATTTCCAAGCCATATGTTTAAAGACGCGTTGTATCGGTGGTGGTGCATCCTCTCGTGCACGTATCGGTGACGCATCTCTGTGTATACACAGAAGCCGGTTCGAATACGCGCTTGCGCGCGCGAACTCGCGCGTGTGTGTAAGCGTTGAGACACGCGTGTCCACGCTTGCGAGGGTGATATCGAAATACTATCGCTTCCCACGCGAGAAGGAGCCTCGATTCTGTCTGGCCGGCGTCCGTGCGTTCGCCTGTGTTCACGTGCGTGCGTAAAAGCCGCCTTATTGGGAAACTTTAATGGCTAGACCACGGCCAAGCTGGCGTACGTCGAGCATACTTTATGCCTTCGACCATATTTGTCCCACGATTCATATCGCGACAACGAAGACGGATTCGGCAACGAGTCCCTTTTTCGTCAGCTTTCGCAACCGGCACCTCTCGATCGCTCTAACGGTCCCATATCTTTCGTCCTCTCCCTGCCAGAGAACACTCTGCCACGGCATAACTCGAAATTAACGCGTCGAAAAGTCACCTTCCTCCGCCATCCTCGTTTCACTCGCTCGTTCCTCGAGCGGAGACTGGTTTCGCCAAGCCCGAATTTTATATTTTCACGCAGGACGATCTTATTTCGCTGTAGCCGTAGTCGAGGCTCGCTGCTGCAGCTCCGGCTCCGGTGTCAGAATTTTAACGATATTCGCGAAACACACGGAAGATTCCCGCGCGTGTTCGCTTCCTCGGCGAATCCATCGAAGACGAGACGCCGCCGAGAATTCCAGCTTTCCGCTCGCGGATTCAACGTCCCACCGAGTCGAACGAATCGCGAGTATCGCGTCTTCGTGAGAACGTGTCCCTGGCTCGGACGAGTGGCGTTATTACATCGTAGAAATACCTTTGCGGACCGTTTCGTTCGGCACGTAATAACTGTCATAGGCGTTCGCAGTGCAGTATCCTCGAGGGACGCGGTCCCCGTGGGCCAGAACCCATGGGGTCGTGGTTTACCGGATCGTAACCAGATCTTCGAGTTTCGAGGTTTACTGCCGCGAGTCGTGGGTCTGTTAAACGAAAAGCCTGCTGGAATATTCGCCGGGTCCCGTTTCGAGGCTTCGAATTCGCGGCAAAGAGTGGGAAGATTCGAACCGACGGAATTGCAATTTCGCCAAAAGCTCGTGCTGATTTCTCGGGTACCACGCGAAGCGTCCTCGTGGCTGTCTGGCTATCTCGTTTCGAGACAGAACACGCGGTCTGACTGCTTACCGAGGGAATTCGTCGAGCCCTGTCCCTTCGTCGATGACTCGAAAAATGAAACGACCGAGAGCCGGAGACGAGTAGACGGGCAAAAAGCGGCCGAGCAGAGGAAACAACGGCTAATTAATCGTTGTCCTGTCGCTTTCGTTTAAACGTAATTCGTGGCAATTGAACAGGGTCTCCTTTACGAATAAATTCGTGGAAAGACGCGACTTATCGCGAGAAAGTGGAGTAGGTACGCGAACGGCTGGCGAAAAGCACCCGGGGCAGTGGGTGTTTTTTCGCGAATCGAGATTGGATAACGATTCGGTCGGACGGCGAGGCAACCGCGGGCCCTTGTGCGGGTTCGTTGCGCGTGATCGAGCAAAAAGACGAGAGGAAAGAGAGCCGAAACCACCCCGCGATGCATAATTCATGGTGGTGGGTCCGGCTTTATGGCGCACCCCGATGCCTCATGATGTAAACAGTCGTAAATTAATGCAATTGGCCAGAGCTGGTTCACGTGTGCGGCAGAAGGAGAGAGAGAGGAAGGATCGCAGTCGCGAAAGCGTTCGTCCGACCACGGATTAATATCGCGTTCAACCGACTTCTCGCTTCCACGCTTCGCAAATTCCAAGATTTCGCGGTTTCCACGCGGTCTTCCGCTTCCGGTGGCTAATTGGTTCCATTAAACCCGGGACAATGGTGTAGTAAAAACAACAACTTTCAGAGAAAAAAGCATCGTGGATGCCTTCACGAACGAGTATCTTCCTCGTAAAGGAAACGAAGTCTACTTTTTCACCGATTAATTAAAATATCTGCACAGAGGCGTGCCAAGTATCTCGCGCTCGCGGCAAAATCAATCGCATCGTCACGAAGGGATCGCGCGTGTCACTCGGGGGCCCGACTATCAATGGGTCTGTTTTGCATCGCAAAGAACTGCCCTTCCCATTGTTCGTCTACCCGGATAATTCCAGCCGAGCGAACAAAAGCAAGAAAATATTGGATCATCGTGCTGGCACGCAGCACGACCACTTTTCCGCTCGGCGATCGGAGACCGGCGCGAACTCCGAACGAAATGGAGGAACGATTCCAAAGGAACTTTTTTCACCCACCTCGGATCGTTTCCTCGAACGTGAATGCACCACAGCGACGATCGGTTCCACGCCTGGTTATTAGAGGAACTAGCCAGTCGGTGGCCGCCCGTGCACGAGAACGGAGCTGTCAAGCGAGCGTTCCTCCTGTCAAAGCCCTCGCGTTCTCGACGCTTGCTTCCTGGACAAGGAGCTGCGCGGTCAAAGCGCCGAGCTGAACTGAAGCCGAGGCAACTCGAGATCGCCGCTATAACGCGCGGCGAGCGTGAACGGCAGACCTGATGGCGGGACGCGGCATTTCGCCGTGAGTTTTCGTTTTGCTCCCGTCCTCCGACTTTTCGGCAATAATTGGCCGTGGAAAGAAGGGTGGACCGAGGATAACGTGGGAGTGATAGATTCGAGCGGGGTGTAAAATGCCGAGAGAAAGCGAGAGCTGTTTCTTTAAATTTCACCCGCCAACAATGGCCACCGCGTGATTTGTAGCGACTAGTTTAACGCGTACTCCTTGCAATGAGTATTCCTTTTCTGAAATATCGAAACGAGTCGTATATGACCACTGTACGGCCGCTCGAGTATATCTACGCGAGGGTAGTACTAATAAATAACTAGTTGCGTGCGTGTGTCTTACTGACACCAACGGGAGATGCACCCTTTGCACTCTAGAGCCTTTCAGTGGCTATTTGATAAAATTTCGAAGCTCGATATTAATTAGTTTATCAAATTTAAAATAACGTAACAGTGTGCGAGGTATCGAAATTAAATAATTCTACGTGTTAATTGTTGTACGATTTATAATTTACTTTTGGAAAAATATTATCAGCATTATAGCAGAAACTTTTTCAATCGCCATTTGATAAAATTTCGAAGCTCCATATTAATGAATATATCAAATTTAAAATAATATAACAGTGTGGGAGGTATCGAAATTAAATAATTCTACGTGTTAATTATTATACGAATTCTTATTTACTGTTCAAAAAATATTATCAGCATTACAGCAGAAACTTTTTCAGTCGCCATTTGATAAAATTTCGAAGCTCGATATTAATTAATATATCAAATTTAAAATAATATAACAATGTGCGAGATATCGAAATGAAATAATTCTACGTGTTAATTATTATACGATTTCTTATTTACTGTTCAAAAAATATTATCAACCTTATAGCAGAAACTTTTTCAGTCGCTATTTGATAAAATTTCGAAGCTCGATATTAATTAATATACCAAATTTAAAATAATATAACAGTGTGGGAGGTATCGAAATGAAATAATTCTACGTGTTAATTATTATACGAATTCTTATTTACTGTTCAAAAAATATTATCAGCATTATAGCAGAAACTTTTCCAACTCGTACCCTTCTTTAGGGTTAATTCTGTAGACTCCCTTCGTGTCAGATCGGGAGAAAAGATTCGATAAGTGGGATTAGCGAAGCTCGTTGACGATGAAAATGGATCCTCTCGATTAATATCGTGTCCAGATTTGAGCAGGAACACAAAACGCCCCGCTAATCACCCTTTTAACGAAAGCCACGCGTTTCACCTAATCACCGAACCTAATCCCGTAAAATCTCGATGCAGGCCATTAACCACGATGTCAGGGCCCTTTCCAGCTACGTTATGCTACCAGAAATCGGTCGATACTTGCCACCATAATTCCACCATCAGGCTTTTCCTCGCTTCATCGGGGATGTCGCATTCTTCTGGCGTCGGATTACAACCACCATGGGGTGGAGCTTTGCGAGAGGGTGTTCCCCGCGCTTATGGGGCTTACAGGCGCCAGCATTTATGGATTTATCGCTAGCATAACGTTTCGTCTTCGGAATATGTTTCGTTGTTCGTTGAATAATGGGCAAACATTTAATTATGGCGCAATAGCTTGAAAAATCGTATCTCGAAGGGATAGATGACTCGTTGAAGACGCGGCTTAAGACGATAATTAAATTAGACGTTCATTTGCTCGTCGTTTGTCACAACGCTTCGTTTTAACCTCGTCTACGTCGTATAAAAATTTCGGACAGGAAGATCATGGCGGATAGAAGAAGCAAATACACCATTTCTGCGCGAGATAAAATGTCATCTATAGGAGGTAAATTTGACATTTATATTTCAACATTTTCCACAATTTTTAAGATAATTAATGATCAATTCTTAAATTATAGGAGATACGGTGAGGAATTTTAACGACAATTTCGTAACCGAATTCTTGAAATACGCCAACGAGTACAACGCCCATCCTCTACCTAAAATTATAGTGAGTTTCTTTATGAGATTCGTAAATGTTCTTTAAGCAAATGAAATATATTTTTTAAGATATAATTATTGAAATTTGCAGAGCCACGTGGATCTTCGCGCTCCCAGCACGTTGTCATCGATTTCCGAAAAGTGATTATCTCTAAATAATTATTTTTAAGTACCCTAACGCGAAATCGATTCATGTTTTATCATTTTTTAGGATCGAGGACGATGGATCTCCTATCTTTCATTTAACGTATCAAAATAAGAAGCTGACGAGCCCGACGAAGATCGAGAGCAAAGATAAGTAGCATTATTTAAAGCGACATTTTCTTCGTAACTATGATACGATAATATAATACGATATATAATATCGATTCGATCCTTATTTTATCACACGTCGCGAGGTATCGATTTGCATATTGGATGCGCTGAATTCCACGATGCAAAGATACAGTACTATAACGGTATTGAGGTAAATCAAATAATCATTTCCTTTCCCTCTCCGCGTGTAAAAGTATTTTTACACGTTTTTACCTCGTTCTAATATCTCCACAGATTACCAGATTGTAATATAAATGCATTCGGCGTGATGCAAATCGCGGAAATGTTAAGGAACATCGGATGCGTGCGAGACTTAAATTTAGACATGAATCCGAACGTGCAAGAAAATTATCATTTGCTCTGCACATCCAGAGGAAGGTATGTAATTTGTGCAATTGCATGAATATCGGTTTAATAGACTCCGTGTTCAGCTTGAAGTATTTGTCTCTGAGACTTTGCAAAATAACCGATACCGGAGTGGAGAAAATCGCGAGGGAACTGCAATATCGAGATCCACCTAATAATCCGAAATTGCTCATTTTAAACTTGGCAAATAATCACGTCACGAAGGATGGCGCTGTACACTTGGGACAAATGCTTCGAACGAATAGGTGAGTTTAATTTCATTTAGTTCGTTCACTCCTTCTTCCAAGCTTCGCAATTTTTGTTAGAAAGCGAATTATATTTTTAAGCGTTTAATTGGAAGTATGAATTGGTAAAATTAGGAAAAAGATAAGGAATTGTTGTCACATTAACGTTGCATTCCAATATATTTATTGCTTCGAACGAATAGGTGAGCTGAATTTAATTTAGTTCGTTCACTTCTTCTTCCAAGCTTCGCAATTTTTGTTAGAAAGCGAATTATATTTTTAAGCGTTTAATTGGAAGTATGAATTGGTAAAATTAGGAAAAAGATAAGGAATTGTTGTCACATTAACGTTGCATTCCAATATATTTATTGCTTCGAACGAATAGGTGAGCTTAATTTCATTTAGTTCGTTCACTCCTTCTTCCAAGCTTCGCAATTTTTGTTAGAACGCGAATTATATTTTTAAGCGTTTAATTGGAAGTATGAATTGTTAAAATTAGGAAAAAGATAAGGAATTATTGTCACATTAACGTTGCATTCTAATATATTTATTTAACCGACTTACAATCTATAGAATATACAAATCAGTACATTGCTACGTTATCATTCATATCGTGCATACATTTCTCTAACTATGCATACGTGCACGTACTAATTTGTCGCTTAAAATATAATATAACTTAATAAATATAGCCAAAGTCGATAGCAGACTATCGCAGCCTACTTGTAATTCATTTCCGTTCACTGTAAGCTGACCAGTGTCCCATTTTAACGATATCTTGAAAAAAAGAAAATTCATTCATTAATTAAACTCTCTGTAATTACGTAAAATACAATTTATCTCGCATTTACAGGTCTCTGAGATGTCTAGTTTTACTCGGGAATAGAATATGCGACGAGGGTGCATCATCGATACTCCAAGAACTTAAAAGGTATTGTAAATTACTCTAATTAATATTACGTTAATCGATGATCCTAATCTAATCCTGATTAATGTGTCTACCAATGAATTTAGAATCACCTTAAGCCACGAAGAAATCGTAGAACTCCGTCGAAGAAAGTTCGCTGAACTAGCGTTACTGGATGAATGGGTAATCAGATATTTACCTAAAATCGTTCATTCGACACCCTGAAACCCATACGGTTTTCATTTAATTCCGAAAAACGATTAGTCAGAGAAGAAGAAGAGCGTGGAAGCGGATAAAAGCATAAACGGAGAATCGCTGAAGAAGAATGCTAAATCTCGCACGCGTCAAAGCCTCGTAAAACGATCAAAGAAACGTACATCTCCTACAAATTCCACGTAATTGCTTATTTTAATTCATCAAATTCGATTTGCAGATCCTCGAGACTCGTCGACGAGAACGAGAGAAGATGGTAACGTAGTTCAAGAAACCGAATCTACGCAAGTACGACTAAAAACCTACGGAATTTGTCCTACAACTGTAATCTTCCTCGACATTTCATGTTTGTAGAAAATCAGAACGATATTGGAGCACGATGTATGCCATCCTTTCAGAAAAGAAAGTTTCCCTATGAATGGAGAAATTATGGCAACCGGAAATTTGGATTTGCAGTACCTAGATTTAAGCTGTAATTATACCTGGTGCACTCTGAACGTCGAGAAGACTGAGATGAGATTTTTCTATTTAGACAATCGGCTGACGAAGAGCATCTTGCAAGAGCTGATAGACTGTCTTTATTATCAGAATTATATGTTACTTGGAGACAGGCGTAGGGGTCTCTTACACCTTCTCGTCGAGGTAATGAAACCTACTGTGCCTGAAATTAATTCCTCTTATCGTTGCGAGTATGTGTTCCAAGGGAGGGGGCATTAAAGAGGAAAGCAGTAAAGACTGGGACAAGTTCGTGGTGCTTTTACAACAGAGGCAAAGTGGTAATCGTCTAACCAGGGATACTTTTAGAGAACACGTGTCGAAAGAGAGCGAAATTCTACGGCAAAATGTTATTTCGTTGTTCGCAGAAGATTCGTGAAGAAATGTATGCACTGATCAGAATTGTAATCGTTGAAAGAAATAATTAATTCTTTTAGGAATAAAATCATGTTTTAAATAAAGAAATAAATAAAAATAAGTAATAATAATAAGTAATATGTAAATTATAATAAAGTTTTAGTAAATTAGGATATACAATAAACTTTTGTATGTTATTTAAATAATTCGGTGTTTAAGAGGATAATTTAACGAGCTATATAGCACGATATCATGCTGTTTTTCTTCGTGTACGTAATAATTAAGATGAAAGATGCGATATAATGGTGTCCTTCGACAAATGGAACTCGGAGAGGAATGACGGAGTAGTTGTAAAAAATAAAGGAAATTAATCAGAAGGAGAGACGAAATGGCGCGACTGCATTCAGTGTCCCGCGAAAGCTCTTATCGTTTGAACTTTTGATCTCAGATGGGACAGAGAGACCACGGTTATACGCACTGCACGACTCGAGATCGCTAGTTTTGCCGCGTTGCAATTTGCGACAATGTTGTTTCACATTGCTGCCGCGGCAGTGCTGACGAACATCGCCTTTCTAGAGATTTACACGATATACAACCTACCGGAAATTACAGACACCCAATTTCTATCGGACGAGGTAAATATTGACTTGCGTTATCTCAAATGCACTTACGATTGTTAGTTTCGATTATTTGGTTGCACTGGACTTTAAATTCTTGATGAACAAAATTTTATACCGTTCATATTAAAGGCCAAGTGAATTGAATAATATATATATGACACAGGGAAAGCGTTAAAGTAACAAACTTAGACAATTTTGTAAAATGTTTATATATAATTAAAAATATGAAGCATAATACTCTAGTTATAATGTTTATTTTCTTCACGTAAAACAAATGCCGGAAATAAGGTGGAGTCGATGATGAAATCTACATCCGGTGAACAGGGATGACCTCTGGTGTGTCGAAATATGTACAAGATTGTCATTTGTGTCGTCGCGTACCGTCTCTCATCGTTAATAATATCGCAATAGTTAATTATAACAGTGTATAAAACTACGAAATCTTTTTGCAAAGTTTAATACTCAGCTGTGAGCTTTCGAGTATCGTAAACCATTCGTTCTTCTCGGAAAGGAAGCGAAAAGTGAACTATTTTGTCTGCCATAACCAAAGTTTTATTTCTGTAGCACTTAACCAGTGGCGCCATCTCTTTGAAAAGTGCTCAAACTTGTCGCACATCGTTATCGACAGGAAAGTAAACTATCTAATAGATTTTGACTGGTAGCGCCATCTCTTTGGAAAGTGCTCAAACTTGTAGCAAATCATTTGCGAAATTTTTGACTAGTGGCGCCATCTCTTTGAAAAGCGCTCAAACTTATCGCACATCGTTATCGGCAGAAAAGTAAATTAGTTAATAGTATTGTCTTGTAGCGCCATCTGTTCGGAAAGTGCTCAAGCTTGCCGCACCTTAATATCAATAGCAGAGTAAACTGGTTACTAGAATTGATTGGTGGCGCCATCTGTTTGGAAAGCGCTCAAACTTGTCACACATTGTTATCAATAGCGAAGTAAACTAGTTCATGTATTTTGACTAGTAGCGCCGTCTCTTTGAAAACCGTTGAAACTTCTCGTATGTCATTATCGACACAGAAGTAAATTGATTAAAGAAAATAACAAAATTTTGATTCCAAGCTTGTTACGTCAAGATAAAATCATATATGATCTTCTAAACAATCAATTGATTTAATTGACGCACGAATTAAACTTCAAAATGTACGAAAATTTGTTCAAGAATCCTTTGCATCGTGTGTTCGTATACGGCACATTAAAACGAGGAGAACCTAATCACAGCTTAATTCAAGATGCTGCAAATGGGTATGCAAAATTCTTAGGACTTGGAAAAACCAGCACTCCATACCCATTAATAATTGCAACTCAATATAATATACCATTTTTGTTGAAGAAACCTGGTTTTGGTCACGTGAGTATTGCATGAATTTATCGGTATCAATGTAGGTAATGTTGTCAAGCAACTAGTTTCACGAAAGTGTTAGTAGATGGCGATACTACCTACAACACAATATCGAAAACTCAGTAATTTTTTGACACACGCTATTACGTATAATTTACATTATACTGAATTACACTTTTCTTATTTTGATATTAATATACTCAATTACTAAACTTTTATCGAAATGTATTATTTGTATAAATTTGTATTTTGTGATACAAACATTAACGTTGTTGCTAACTTAAACATTTGTTTTCAATTTTAATATTTGTTACTAAGAATTAATAACGAGTGTTAAGTTTGATGTTTGAATTAAACGTACGAATTATTCCACTTGATAAAAATTGTACGCAAAATTAACTTACCCATCTTCTCGTATTACCTTCAAAACAGCATGTATTTGGCGAAATATACGATGTCGACACGAAAATGTTGAAGAAGTTGGACGAATTGGAAGAACATCCAACGTTTTACGAACGATCGCAGGAAGATGTGCATTGGGCGACAGAGGGCAAGGCCAAGTCGACCGATAACTTTGACGAGGTATTTACTATAAAGATACGTTTTTCTATAATTATTTATCCGTTGGAAATTAACGACTGTCTTATTACTGTTATAAAATAAAATATGTAAAAAGGTGGTAAAAGAAAGATACGTTTCTCGTTCACTTAAGAACATAAAAGACTAAAATACAAAGTATTAACTGTCAAGTATTATTAAGTATTAAGTATTAAATGCACTACTACAATTAATACACGCAATTGTTATTAAATTAATCTGCTCAATTTATTATCAAACTTGTTCTCAGGTCAGTACCTTGATAAAGGTCTGGATATATTTTCTACCAAAGTTCAGGGCATCCTTATTGGAGAGTCCCATGTACAGCTCGTACAGCAACGAGGGAAGCCACGGACTCAAGTATTGCGAAAAGTATGTTCGCGACCCCTCGTACAATCATAGAAACGACGTTCAGTGATACTTTATCCCCCGAAATATATTTGTTTCCAGCGAGGAGAGTACAATAAGGCCGGAAGACCTGCTCTGACCAAGCTGTTTTGCATAATTATGTTGTTGACCCTTCATCGTACGAACGCTTCAACGTTATATTGTTAATCGTGATAGTTAATAAAAGTTTCTTCGTCGAATGAAATTATTGGGATTTAACCTTCTGCAATCCGATATGTCCTTTTCCCCCACGAACAACTAGTTTTCTCATCGTATTCTTTTCCCCTCGAAGACACGTCGAAGATTGCAGAGGATTAAATCGTATCTCTCGTTAATTTCCATCGCAACGAGTTAACAATTGCAGCAACGCTACGTCTCTCACAAAGCGAAACTAATCGTTGAAAAGGCGTCTTGAAACTTCGTGTAACAATCAAAAGTACTTGCATAATACCTATGTACATTCTCGAAAATATATCTTATGTATATAATCTCGTACAGCGTAATGTATAATTGCTATCTGCAAAAAACAGTTTTCCTTTTCTCTTTTTATTATTCATTCCACAGAAATCAGGCACGAGTATTGCGAGTTTCGTTAAGATGTGTATAATGAAATGAAACAAGAAGAAACGTTATCAGAAACAAGTTTCGTCTGTTGGACACTCAGGTTTTCTTCATTATTTATTATATCAAGTTCATCGTTCGCCACGTTGTACTCCACTCTCTTTCGCGCACACTTTCGCTTCCTCTGTCATTCTATCGTTTTCTCTCTGTTAACAGTCGCGATAAAATTATTTCAACTATTCTGTAACAAAAGGCAGGCGAAGTCCACGTCACCCTGACGATGATATCGTCCTCGCGCCATTTCATCTTCTCTCGACTTGCATTCGATTTTGCTATTCACCGAAACGAGGGACGCCCAATCCTCTTTCTTCCCTCCGGAATTAGCCAAGACTTTCATCCCGCCAGTTCGGTTGAAATCGATCGACAAATCATAGCATTGTTACGGTGCACAAGGTCGACCAGTTCGTTCAAGTTTAAAGGCAAAAGATAGACAAATTTTTACGGCCATTCGTTTACTACCTAATGTACCTGAACTCGTGTTTGCAAGTGTCTGATCGCACGTGAACGAATAACTATATAACTCGATCTACGAGACGAACAAACTGATCGATCCAACCGAACCAACAACTTTAGACTCTCGCACATGGAATTTGCATATTTCTACGTGAAAATGCCCGTGAAATGTACCTTCGATTCTCGAGATAAAACGACTGTGACGGTCGATCGCGCGAACAGAAAATTACCGATCGCAATTACACTCGTTTCGAGCGCAAAATACTTCTCTTTCCTCAAACATTCTCTGAACTAGTCGCGAGATCACCGACACATCATTGATGGTTCGCGAAATTAAAATGTTTAAGGCAATACTTATAAGTTGTCCTAGGAAATTTATTATAAATAATCACATCCTTTTCTTCTTCTTATAGTTCACTATACAAGGCTCCGTTTCTTTCTTTTCCTCGCTTTTTGTGTGTATGGCTCGCTTTTTTCGTTCTGCTTCCTCGAGTTATCTTTTTTTCTTCCACCTGTATTTTTTTTCTTCACCCTCAAAAAATAACAGCGTTAGCACCCCGAACTCCCGATATCACACAGGAGAACCTGAACGACTTTCTCTCTCGCTCGCTCGCTCGCTCGCACACTCTCTTTCTCTCTCTCTCTCTCTCTCGCTCCCATTCTATCCAACCTCTCCCTCGTTTTCATATCTTTTTCGCGAAAGAAGTTCCTAAATCAACGAAACTAATTAAACAAGCGTCAACAAAAGCGTACATACGTTCTTCATGTTCTTTTTTCCATATTGTATATTCGTTTACGCGTGCGTCTCTTCTTTCTATATTTCTTGTACATATTTCGCATTTTCTCGATTCCTCTTATCCAATCTAATTATTATTTCGTTAATAATTAAAAGAGAACGTATATGTTCTCTGTTTTCTTTCTTTTACGTAATTCTGTCGTATCAACGTGTATAGCAATGTTTCCGCACCGTTCCAAAGCCCAGCCCCGGAATTCAATTATTTCCAAGTAATTATTATATATATTTATACATATATATCTTAATGCATCTAGACTTTTGTGTTCGTTGACGTATGTTGCCGTTGAGTGAAATGATTACTCGAAAAACACGGCCCAACTAGGATCGACCATACTTCGAAAAGTCTCTCGTAATTGTGATCGATTTCCTTTTCCTCGCGTAATGCACATGTAATTATATCATAGTCCTTCCTGCGATTAAAGGTTGTCACATTTGAGTATCCCATGTTTTAATCTACATTCCCGTGACGTTTCGAAGGCGATCGATCGACTGACGCGAAAGCAAGCACGCTAAACGAAAACAGCAGCACCGTGTAAAAATACAGCGATCGCGCGAATGCTTCACGTGATTAATCGCAAAGTTTAACACCGTTTTGCGCGAAGATACGAACATTCTATCTTAATTTCCGGTCTGTCAAGTGAACTTGCGATCCTCCCCCCACCCCCATACCCCCTCCTCAATAAGGATCTCTCTCTTCTTTCTTCTATGTAGATTAAAAAATTAAATATAAAACTGCTGCTAAATGTGTTTTGAGCATGTTCTCCTTGTATGAAAAAATAAACGTCCGCGTTTCTTTACGAAATTCATCGTAAGCACGATCGTTTTCCGAAAAGAAACCGTGCATCCGGTTTCACGATAGCAGGCGAGATCTCCTATCGAACGAAACAGGATTTCTTACTTTTTTTTTTTTTCTTAACCAACGTCGGGCCATTTGAAAGCTAGGGCACGGTACATGAATCGATGATGCATCCTATTCGTACACGTTTCGTCGAGTGTTCTATATCCTAGAAAACATATGTAATAGCGTAGCTGGGCCACGAAACGGAGAGAGGCGATGACGTAATAATGATGATTGTGTTTGTCGTTTGATCGAATCAGGGATGATTTCAGCTTTGATCTTGCGATAGGGCACCGTATTTGTTACCCAGAGAGAGCTTCGGCGCTTGAGCTTGCGCATCCTGGACACTATACGATCTACTTCCTCCTCGGTTACGCACTTCCTCAAACGTACCTTCGTCTCGTTTCCTAAAATGAAATTACCGTTATTCACTGAAATCGTATGTTTCATTTATTTATAATCTGCATAGATGCATAGATATATAACTATATATACTATATAAATATAATTGTATATTTAACGCTTAAAAGTATCTCTAATCCTTACCGCCTGCCCCATGGTCCACTGGGTTCGTTGCTCTGTTGCTGCTTGGAGTTCAAAGTTGGGAAATATTCTTCGCTGTGTATGTCTGGTGCGATATTTTTTGCTCGTGGTCTAGGACTAGCAGCTACTGCTTGGATATTTCTTAAATGAGGTGGTTTATAATTACTTCCCGATGTAACAGGTGGTGGTGGTGGAGCTATTTCTGCTACTTCTGGTTGCGGAGGAAGCTCAGGCTTTTTCCAAGGACCCAAATGCTTGCCGCTGCTCTCTCCTGACTCTACATCCGAGCAGCTATTGTCGATTGTAATCTTTTCTTCTTCGGACTCTGCATCTAAAGATTCATTAAGTGTTAAGTTTCCAATCTTTAAGCCGGTATAGTCTTTCTTCTCTTCTTCGAACTCTCTCCACTCGTCTTCATCCTAAGGGAAAGTATTTTAAATATGTAAATCATTGCAGAAACGTTTGTACGTAATTTGTGATGCATAATTAGAATCATTAATGTATTTCATTTGAGTTTACTACAAAAAAAAAAAGAAGAAGACAAGCAATACATTGAAGAACAGATTTTTCGATCAAAGAAGTAGTTTCTCAATTGAAACAACGTCGAAACAGTCGTATACGATAATAGTTTGAGAACAGCTGCTCTGTTTCGCCAAGTTTACAACGGAAAATATACATGACCGCGTAACAATCCAATTATGTAACAAACAATCCGATCGTTGGACAACAAGGAAAGATGAATCACATTAGATTCGAAGGATTCAAGTAAATAGATTAGTTTCAGCAATGGTAAGAATGACGTTTGCACGAACAAATATGGCAGCGACCTATAGCACACGGTAATCGGTAGTTTCGCGTGAACACTTCACACTTCGAAAATCGAAAATTTAAGGAAAACGAAGGAGAAAGAACAGACGAAAAACGAACAGATGTTTACCTCGATTTGTTGAATTTCCTCTATCTCTTGAATTGTTGATTTGTCTTTTGACTTCTTTCCCAACCGTTTAGCCGTCTCCTCTAATTTCTTCGCTATCTCCTCCGTGGTCGTGAACTTCTTCCCCTTCGCTTTTTTGCGATCTTTTTTTGCGAAGAAATTGTCCAAATCGGCCATGCTGCGATGACTTTCGCGATGCACGCGCGATTATTCGACGAACAAGTTTTTTTCACGAGAGCACGAGGAACAGCCTTAACGCGGAATGATCTGAGGCACCGCTGCTGCTGTCCACATGGGCTTGTCTTGGCCGGAAGTCAGCCAGTCACTTCGAAGTCAATAGAATTTCCGAATATAGAGCTAATTTTTACAAGAACCGATTAACATTATCAAAAATACATAGATAATTCGTACTCGATGATAACGCGACGCTTTTATTACCGTATATCGTTTTACATGTATGAAACACCGAAAAATTCTCTTCTTAATGTTGAATATGTGGCGCTGATTGTCTAGCAGAAGACTGATACAAAAAAATCCAAGGGCTACCTAACCTATAAACTTGACCGAGGTTTTCAAAATTATCGAGTCATCCAAGTAGTTTCACAAAAGTTATGAAAAGCTAATCAGTTAGGTTACTTATGAATTGCGAATGAGATTCAAGAAATAGTGGAAAGGGGTAACACGTACTAAAAACGTGACTTATACAGAGGTTAATTGATCCACGGTTACCGTATGCAGCGTGTACCGTTGATGGCGCCACATGTCTTCTTTCGACACTTCCGGAATACGAAATGACGCTCAAACTCGGGCAACTGTCTTGCTGAATAAAATAAAAAAAAAATCCCATATGCTAATCTCATATTCAAATAAAACACAAAGAAATCATTTAATCCCAGGCCTTGTGTTGTGAGGTTACCATGTATAAACATTTAATAGCACCAAGGCCAAAAAACAACTTTTATTTCTTCTTTGTAATAAATATCTATCACCATTTGAATCCTTCATTCTTTAAGCTCAATATAAATTACGTAAAGCACTCATCGTATAATATGACGCGATTTATATATTCATTATCTCTACCTATATTCTCTCTTATATAAATTTTATTACTATAGCTTCGCATTAAAATGCAAATACACGCTGTCCCGTTTTATAATCTTTATCACGAATTTTTTCATTCTCTATATCCCATCCTAGTAAAGTTCGACAATCGTAAAATTTGCACTTAATGGTTCAAAATGAACGCTATCGAAAATTTTACGTTAGAACTAGAAGCAACTTGCGATCGATACTCTTTCAAACTCTTTTAAATGCGACATTATAAAGAAAGTTGCATATTATTTTGAATATCCCGCCTCGGGAGCCCCACTTTCGTGTGTTTGGTAGGGGATACGCAGTCGCGCGTACGGGAGAGAACATATAGCGGATCCCTTTCTTGAAACACCAGTAACTGTGTCTAGCCTTGCCACGAACCATTGCGTTCGGAGGTGTCTCCTATCCTCGTGCCGGTGTACTACGCTGAGAAGCCTCGCTATTCAACCTGCCTGCAGTAGATTCTCTACTCGCTTAAGGGCCTTCCGTGTTTTTCAAAGTGACGAAAAGGCAGATTAGCTTTCGCCTGCAGGGAGGAGATCGAAGGAAACCTTCCGACAGTTCGAAAAGTTCATGTGTGACGACGTACGACAAGATGAAGTTCACACAAAAGTGTCTCGGGAACATCAGCAAGATGCTGGATTTTTACTCGCAGTTCAACCCCTCGCCGCTTTCGATAAAACAGTTCATCGATTTCGGTGAGTAAGGAGCTCGCTTTATTGGCAAACGTTACACACGACGTCCGAGTCTCAAGTGTCGGGTGTCGACGGACCTAGGCCAATTCCTTTTTTACTTTCTCTTTTTGTTTTTGTCCGTTCGTACGGTTGTTTAGACAGGCAAAGAGCTAGAGACAGGAATGGAATCGATCGAACAACGACCTCGAGTGAGCATAGGGCATCGTTTTCAGGGTTGCTTCGGTAAAATCGCTCAACGATCCCAGGGCATCGTACCCGTGGCTAGTTTACATTTGTCGTGCTAGTATCGACAAATGGGTGCCAGCGATGGCGTTGCTGCATCTCTCGACGTTCACGCTTTAATGCAGTCAGAAATTGGGCTGGTTCATTCGCGGATAATTCGTTACCGACTAATTATTCAACTGGATAATTTCAGCTTTGCCATTCAAACGACGAATATAGCATAGAACGCATACACGAATATGGCATATAACGTGATATATAGTGCCTTGTACACGTAAACAAAGTATAATCATTACAAATGTTTCTTCTCCATGGACGCAACCAAGGACGTCTGAGATTACGTCGTTGGCTCAAGGCTAAATGCATTGTCGTTGAATGATTAATTAGTTAAAAAATATTAAAATCGTGTGCACGTAATTTTACTAGTTCTTTCCTTTTTATTTCACAAAATTTTCTTTTAGAAAAGTACTTGGGATTGGGAAAAGAAAATGGAGCACGAGACGACAAAAATACGAAAGCGATTTCTAATTCGACAGCTCTGAGCATTTTTCCCACGATATTTAATTAAATAAAATTTCGATTTTCTTTACGAGATATCCGAGGAGAACGTGGCGCTTAGAATTTTGGATTTTTGCAACGTCAAAATGTAAGGTTGCTGCTCTCGGGTTTCCCTGTATCGATCCCTAAAAGTCACTGCTCTCTTGGAAATGTCGGATTTTGGAAGTAACAATTCCCTTAATCCGAGCGCGCCTAATTTCTGTTTCATTCGACATTTCTCGCGCCATATCGATTTCCATACAGTGAACCCAATTACAATCATTTGACCGCAGAGATGATATTCAGCGGATTAATCTGTAAATAAAATCACGCGATTATTAATTATTCATTCGTGTACTTATCAATACAAATACACTCAGTTTGCATTCCGAATAAATTATCGAAGAAGCTATTTAAAGACCTACTGCACGAAGTACGAAGTTGGTAAAAAGATTTAGTCCCTGGTGCTAAAAATTTATTTTCGGAGTAGGAATCTTCCCTAAGGAACTGTCAATTAGTTATTAACATACTTCTTTCTCATTGAACAAAGTTGTGTGTGTGTTTCGTCTATTGGTCGCCTTTGTTTTCGAACTGTCAGACGTTACCATAGTCCAGCATGCCTCGTGTCTCAACATAGTACATAGCTCCTCTCTGTTAATGAATCGACCGTTTCACGCGTTCTATATATCTAGACAATGACGAAGGAAGCCACCCACGAAGTGGGTAGGTTTTTACCACTCGCAAACGGACGCAAGTGCCGTCAGAGTTCGTCGAATTTGCGATCACGTTTTCGTGTACACGATCTATTCTGACCGCTGCTCTGTTACCCTCACCGTGGTAAACACGTATCTGGTTTAAAATTAGTATCGATGCTTGATTCTCGTAGCGAGGTCAGGATTCAAGAAGTTTCACGCGACGGGCAATTTACGTTATTATCGCGCCGCATACCATTTATTTGATGCGTCGATTATACAGCAGACAAATATGCTAATCACGCTAACGACGAACCGCGATAACATCCTGTTTCGTTTTCCATCCGCACTGTCTGCTGCCTGTAATTAACGAAACCGATTCTTCTATCGTTTCCCACTTAGTAAACATAGTCAGCTGCTCGTATCTATAGTCCTTGAGAGCATACGTGTTCGACGAATATCGAATGCGAATCAAACAGAGTCATACAGATAACGGGAACCTTCGCTCCAAATAAATACCGTCGCTCTGTTTACCTGTTAAACCTAGCAGCGAACACCAGACCTTGGTGAATCTGGTTCACGTGCATCGTTGCAACTCGGGTATATACCGGTGCTCCAAACAGTGCTACAATCTGTCAGAGTGGCCTCCTTTGTGCGCGAGCTACCGAGTTGCCTTCATCAGGTATCAAACGATCTAGAGGCCTTTTCGCGCACACGCAGCGCGCGGCAATTCCTCGGATTATCAATGAATTGACCTAACCGGTTCATACCGACGTAACGCTGTTTGTATCCACAGATTTCGAGCAAGTTGTTCCAAGGCGGGAAGTCAAGGTTAGCTTCATCGTCAGCCTCGCATAGGCGAACCGTCCCCTGAATTCGGTCACTGCCATTGGTTCCTGGAGACCACCGAGAAGATAAAATAGCAATTGCGCTATTAGTATAGCTGGAATGCTGCCACTTTCCCGCGTCATCCGACTGACGTGGGCGCTCAAACCCTTGGAGTTTGAACTTTCGATAAATTCTTCTTTGAATTCGTGCCCGTGTGACGCAGGCATACCTTCTTCATCTTGCACCTCGTAAATCTCGAGATAGTTCCAGATTCTTAACGCATCTTTGCCGGACTTATTGGGTCATTGCTTCTGACGCGCGGAGACGCAACGATCTTTGAACCGAGCTAGAGAAACGAGAGAAGAGAAAAACAAACCTGACGAGCAGAAGCACGACTCGAAATTAACCTCGTACTCGGTTAATCGACTCTCCGAATGTCTAGGTATACGAGTTTCCTTTTGACGACAACCTGGCTGGGTCTTTCGTCTGAAACTTGCCAGTGTACTGCGAGGAAAGTTGAGGAGAGCTCGAGGGCTTCGAAGAAACCTGTCACGATCGCTGTAAATCGACTTTCTGGAGTCGTCGCGAGACTTTGACCACACCCTTGTTACCGTTTAACTATTCCTATCACGTACCGATATACGTAGTTACCGATCTTAACGTACGTTCCGCTGGTCTCTCTGCTGCTCTACGAAGTACCAGCTAACGAGTAACAGCTACCGCGAACAAGTATTCGCGTTATCAGCGACCTCGATCTCGAGCAATAACAATTTATTTCGATTTCGTAACATTTTCGATTTATCGAGTTTACCAACGCGGCTCGTTTCCTTTCACTTTAATCTCGAAATTTTTCATCGCCCTACATACGATGAACCAAGCTGCGATTTTCCCATGTCGACGATCCGAGCTGCGAAATAAATTGATATTAATTCGGCATTCACCAATCGTTATCTAATTCGCTCGGTGGACGTGTTTTATGTATGCAGCTGGTGCGGTCATGAGACTCCCATTGGCCTATGCAACTCGTGTGCATGCCTGCTGTTGCACATAAGATTAAAGCTTCAAAGCTAAACAGCCACTTCCTCTTACCGGTTATAACCGTACGTCGACCGTTCTAGAACTAAAACTTGCTGGAGGAACAATGGCCGGGTGGAATCACGAGGTGTAACGGAAAAGGTCGATGATCAACCGTTTCCTTGCCAGTGATAAGGCTTTTGTTATTGTTTTGTCGGGCGTTTTATCAGTGATATTCTACAGATAAGCGAATAAAATTCTAAACGCTGCTAAATTTAAGAGCTCGATATCGAATTTCGCGTAAATATTTTGAAGATAAGTTGGCTACATCGTAAACGGAACTTTGATATCGTCCGAGTTAAATTCCGCGAAGATGCTGCGCGATACATCGGAAAAGAGAATTCTGCGAAGGCAAATAGACGTGTGGAGAAAATCGAGAAGCGCTGGCAATTTACACTCGATGTTTGTTTGCTCCCTACGTGCAACGCCCACATTACGATCGAGAGACACTGCACGGAAACGTGATTAGGATGCTCTCGGCAAGTTACTCGCTGTGGGAGTAGGCATGGCTGCAGCCTGGCCGAGTTTTTACTCTACCGAGTCTGGTTCACGCTGGTAAGAGTATCATCTGATCCATACAATACTACTCTGAACGTCCTCGAACCGAGTAATCTACTCTATGGGTCTTTTATTTCTTCCGGATCAACTCTCCCTCGATATCACTTTACTCGTTAGCTGGGAAAGAGAGCGTTTACGCAATCTTGTTAACAGGTAATTTATTCCCCCGCGTAGGCAACGATTAATTCCACGACCAGCAAAAAAGTAGTATCGTTTTACTATTACACAAGAATAATTGTAAGGTTGTGCCGCATAATCTATTTGCGCGGGTATTAATCACGCCGATACACCTGTAAACGATACAAAATAGTTAAAATTCGATCGATAAACTTTCCGCGATTATCAGCGAGCATAAATCATTCTTTTTCGAGGAAATGGTTAAAAAGGCAGGAAAAAATCGCGAAAGGCAATCAGTCAGCGATATTACGGCATTTGCAATTTCCTTTTGATCTGCAGCTCCAACTACGAACTTTCGCGCAACGATCGCGATCGTTCATCTGTCGATCTTCTCGGAGGCATCTCGTAACCCGTGATCCGATAATGCTCACGATCGAAAATAAAACTTCTTTCGTCTCTTTTCCCTTTCGCAGTTTCTTTGTTGGCTCGGGCGAATTATCAAACATCCCCGATAATTTTTGTCGCGGAATTTCAACGACTATCTACGGATCGAGTTTATCGGAGCACTAACGCGACGACGTAGTATTCGAGGGAATAAAACTTTTTTCGAACTTTGTACCATATCCGAAAAGAGGAGTTTAGATCGTCGTTTCGACACAAATCCACGCTACCCCGTGTCCTCGGCTTTTATTAAACATCGGGCTGATGTGCGCCACGGACCTATAGCGCGCACCGGAAATAAGGCTATTTTTACGGAAATACCTCTATCCCTCGATTCGATCGTAAAATAAACTAAATCCAGAAGGACTGACTATCGCGGAACCACGACAAACATTCGTGGGTTCGAAAGGTTCGCGTAATAAAATATGCAAAGTCGGTCTGAATTCTACGCGACGCAAAATCTGGCAACGATCCCCGCGTCGATTGATCCGCGGAATTCGTTAAACGTCGAGAATAAAGCTAATTGGTCGATGGAAAAGGGGGAAAATTGGTTTAAGCTAGCTATAGGTCGGAGTAGAGTGCCGTAGTCGAGGTCAGTTCGCGATTTCCGTAGTTTTCCCCATTTTAAAGAGCACCCCGTTCCTTCTGATTCCGTCCTCGGTACCCCGCGGGATCGATCGATGCATATTCACCCCCGTCGTTTGATCCCCGACCTCTCCCGATCGCAGCACCGTTTTTCTCGTCAAATTTAGACGTTCAATTTCGTCCTTCTCTCGTTACATCCGGCACGTTGTTGACATCAAAGTTAACGCTGATAATCGACGATAATTACATTCGCGAAACATGTGCAGCAGCACTTTGCGAGCCCCGCCGACTTACGTAACGCGCCTCGTGCATTTCAATTCCATGAAAATTGATCCTGTGATCATCCGCGATGAATTTTCAACGATTCGCAGCGGCTGTTTGTCGATAACACGCTGGTGAACCGGCTCTTGGAGGAAATGGAGAAGTGGTTTTTGCCTTGGTTCGCGTGACCGAACGATCGACAACGGTATTTCAATTTATTTTCTTCGGATTAAAAGCTTCGGTTGTGATCGAAAGCTCGCTTTCCATAGGGGAACGGATGTGTTTCCCGATACCTCCGATCTCCCTGATCCTTTGAAAAGCGACGAACGATTGTAAATGAAATTAGAATGGCGGATCGATCGGGGCGAGTCGACAGCAGGGAACGACTGACAATGAGACTTTATGACACGTATCGAAACGCGGTCATCGATGTATCATCGTTTCAAATTCGTTTACTTTTCCGTGCATCACTGGCTGGTCTCTTTGTCCTCTCTGACAATCGCGAGTATTTTAATAAATTTTATCGCTCGCTTGTCCCGAGGAAATTCCATTCGTTTTCACGATCGTCTCCTTGCTCGGCGAGACAAAGCAATTGCAGTAAAAGGGACCATAATCGAATGCTGCCTTTTTAATTTCTCGACAGTCCTCTAAAATAAAAGATTCCTTTCCTTGAACGCCACCTGGCTCTCGCTAAGATCAAAGCTGCTAATTACGCGATTCGTTTCTGCCCGACTAGGTCAAGCTTAATTCGCAAATTCGCGACTTCGTTACCTGCTCTTCAATTCGCTAATGATTCTCAATAATACCGCGTATATGGGTCGAGCTGTTCCCTATCGAACAGAACCGAATGAACGAAAAATTATGTCACGTACTTTTGACATACTGTTCGTTAAGAGCCTGAAAAATCATCTTTTTTTTTTCCTGTCGCGTAATTACGCGTTGAAATTTAATACCGCTCGTGACATGTTTACTGCCGTGTTGCTAATTGAAACTTCGTCTGTTGAAAGAGCGAAACCTAAACGATAAAACTCATCGAGTTGCGAACACTGCGATTAGATAGATTTTACTCGCGAAGTAGCCAGTGAGTGGGATCGATCATGTCATTTCCACTATTGTTCCATCAATCTTAGAATCACGATCTCGCGTTCTCTATTGACCAACTATTGCCTTATCCGGTTCGATGTATCGATATAAATGCTCAACCATCGGCTAAACAATTTCGCGCAACGTGGGTATTACGTTCCCGAGTGAAAAGAGAGGGATGCGTCGAAGGACATTGCATGTTTCGTTGCAATTCGATGCACTCTCTGACCTTCCTGGCTACCTCCACGAATTTCTTGCCGAGTCACCCACGCGAACTATGTACCTCGAATAAGAAGCACACTCGCACACGGGAAAAAAGCTTCCCGATAATTACGTGTTAAAACGCGCATATGCAATAAGATGCGACTCGCGTCCAAAGGTCAGGAGGCTCGTCCATCTGCGACCACACCAGGCAGGCACGCAAACAGTTGTCATTCTTTTACGCTTTTATCTCGTCTCGTTTCCCCGTCGTCGTGTTTCCTACTTCCAAAACGCGTGCACGATGTCGCAACATCGTATCGATCATGTTCGCTCTCGTCTTCTGTCCGCATACGTCCCAGCGTCGCTCGTTTATCTCGAAGGCGAGGAATTTCGTGAAACACGTTTGTTTTGTAAGTTACAAGTGGCGATTATTTTCTTAAATCGCTATTTCAGTGTTTTGTCTGACAGACTCTTTTTTCTCCCGTCTGGCTTGCTCTGTCAATTAACGCGATTCCGTGCTGAAGTACGAGAGAGAGCTGATAACTCTGGCAGCCTGCTAAATATTTTCTATTACTCAACGAGATACGCATCTAGACCGGAAAAACGGCGATAATGCACAAACAAACAATTGCTCGTGATACCTGCTCAAACACATTGTTTTCGTACTTGTTTATTACGTTTAAATGACCGGAACACCTCTCCGCGATTTTTACCGGAGATCTAGCTAATCCACGAGAGCGTATAAACCTGTCAGCCGATTCGAGTGTAATCTTTGTGATAGATTATCTGGAGTGTTATCGAACACGGGTCGTAAATGAATGAAATCTCAAAGTTGATATGGAAGGGTATCAATTTTATGCTTCATCCGCGACCCATCGATTGCGATTTCACGAGGGAGAAGAGCGTGGGCGTGAAAAGGTTATTCCTCCGATCGATTTAGATCGCAAAGGATCGTTTTCGCATAAGAGACTTCGGTTCAGCCTGCTCGGTGCGGATAAAGTCAGTGGGTAATTTCACGGCAATTTATTATCGGCTACAGATTGGACTTGGCAGTGAATCAGCTGTTCGCCAATCTGTACCGTTAGCAGAAAATGCAATTTTCTTTAATGGAAAACCTGGCATTTCAGAGACTTTCACGCTGTTTCCTCTGTTACCGATCGAACCTCTTTGCGCGAGGACGTTCGAAACGAGAATTTAAGGCGTCGCGAATTTACCAGGGTCGTTTTTGAATGAAATCCCGTGAATGAAATAAAGCAAGGAAGGTTAAATAAGGAACTATTGACTCCTATTACCTTCGTCCCACGTATACGCGACTGAATTATAAATGAACACGAACGATTCCGTTGGTCTATATCTTACCCTGATCTCCCGTTTTTTCTCTCCAAGGTCCCAAATAACCCCGTAATCTAGGAAATTTACCGATATGTGTAGGTAATCCTGCGGAACCACTCGGTTAAGTTAATACGGGGCAAATTTAATCCAATTAAGCAATGGGATCAAGCTATTGTCCGGTGGATATACGCTATCGGGGATGACGTAAATGGTGGTCAAGTTTTATGATGTCCCCTCTCATATCGCTTATATCCCCGCTATCATAAACATTTGCGTTATTCGCGAAAGCGAAAAGAACCTGAAAAATTACACAATCGTTTATCGGTGTCTTGCTAAATCACGCAGCTTTAAACATCGAGCGGAAAATATACATAAATTATAATCAGCTCGATAATCGCGGTGTTTACAATTAGTAAATTAGTAACGTCTCATATTCCTGGCTTGTTTTCCGTCAATCCGGACAATGATCGAAAGCTGAGATCTAAGTTTATGTACGTTTGGCAAAGTATGGGCATTTGAGTGCAGAGAAAATTGGCAGTATCGGTTAATTAGGAATATCGTAAATGGCAGTTTGTTAAGTAGGTTATCTGCTGAGTAAACGTTGCAAATCGATTTTACTATACAAACATCACGCGATGCAATAGGTTCGTTTGATTTAGAAACGGTCGATAGACCAGTTCCTTCGAACTGAATTTACCAGAAAAGTTATACATTACACACGCGTGCAATCAGAACCCCAGGCTGCTTTTGATCATGTCGTTCGTGGAGAAAGTTTTGTTAAAATCCTGGCTACCCTATCCTTCGATCGATCGATTAAATTTTAAAAGAGACACCAAAATGGGAATTGGAAAGTGTATCACCTTGATACGTGGCCAGTGCAAACACTCGCTTCTGAGAGAAGTGATAAAACGGTATCGTAGCTCGCTCATGATCGTGTTTTCTCCAATGAACTGCAGAGAACAAGCCACGTATCTGCGACCTCGTATTATTGTAATGTAGGAAGCACTGTCCAGTTTGATAAATTCGATATCGGAATAAATTCTTTTCCCGGGAAACGTAACGCGTTCGTTTCTAATCTAGGGACTCTAACGCGGACAATTTTCGCTTTCGTCGACGGCAACGATGATTTCACTTTTCGAAACTTCGCGATTGCTATCAAAATCGAGGCGGAGGCGAAGAAAAAGGAATGGAGGAAGAGGGAATGCATAAAAAATTGTACTTGTAAAGCGAAACGTAAGCGTCGTTACATGTAAGGAGATAACGCAACCGGTTGCCACGAATGAAGCCGCGTTTTCATAGAAATCGGTCTCCTTTTCCTGCAAGGAACCCGAGCTTACGCAATGGAACACTGTTTACAGAGTTCGTTGTTCCGTGTCTCTTTGATTCATCGAAACTTTCCTTGATGTGGGTTTTAAATCGTCGCGATAAGAGCGTTAGTCGCCATCGCCATCCTTTACGATTTTCCTAAAACTCTTGGAAAACGTGTAACTTGCCAATCGTGACACACGCGAGCATACCAGCAAGAACTCCCACGATGATTAAATTCAACGACGTGATTTGTTTCAGATCTAAGTTCCCAAAACTCTTAGAAAACGTGTAACTTGCCAATCGTGACACACACGAGCATACCAGCAAGAACTCCCACGATGATTAATTTCAACGACGTGATTTGTTTCAGGTCTAAGTGCCTGTGAAAGGAAGTCCTTTATATTCCTAAGGAAGGAGCTACCAGTCCGACTGGCCAACATTATGAAAGAGATCCACCTGCTGCCGGAGAATTTACTGAATATGCCTAGTGTGGGTATAGTTAATAATTTATACGCCACTTCGTTCGAGGATATCATGCAGTTCGAGAAGGTTGAAGTCAACGAGACCACTTTAGACAAGTGAGTCTTCAACAGTTAGAACAGTCTCTTGAATGGTTCATTCAACACTCGATTCGTTTGTTAGACGCCTGGTTCTAAAATATTGGCTTCTAGGCTCAATTACACTTAAACGGATTCGTCGCTTTTCTCCGGCATATCTCGATCAGAGTAAATTAACCGAATCGTGTCTCTTCTTTCTCGCAGGTTTTGTCAGACATTGGTGAAGATCCGGAATAGACACAAGGATATCGTAGAGACCATGGCGCAGGGTGTTCTGGAGTTGAAAGAATCTCACGACGTCGATGCCCAGACGGAGAACAATATTCAGTATTTCTTGGACAGATTCCTCATGTCCCGAATTTCCATTCGCATGCTGATTAATCAGCACAGTAAGTTCATTCTTGCGTTTCGTTATCTAACAGGTTCAAATTGGTTGACACGACTGTTAAAAAAAGAAAATCTCTTCTCTTACAGCTCTCCTATTTGGCAGTGAATTGAACGGGCACAGTAGACACGTTGGTTCCATAGACCCCTCCTGTGAGATAATCAGCGTTGTGAAAGATGCCTATGAGAAAGCTAGATTACTGTGCGACGAATATTATCTAGCTAGTCCGGAGCTGGTGGTCCAGCAACATAACGGCAAGTTTGAAAAACGTTGATTGTACTGTAACGTTGATAGTAAGTCGCATGGCATAATCAATTTTCTCTAGTAGATAGAGTACAAAATTGCCACAGCGAAACCTTTGAATTTTTAATGAAAGATAACACGTACGCGGTACACATGCGAATAGACGACAGCGAAAAGCTTTCAGTGTGGCAATTTGTTGTGTATTTTGCGCGTAAACAGAGATATAAAAGAAAAATACAAAATGGTAACGACGATTAGATTGTTGCAACATCGTAAGAAAAAGAAGAGCGCATGGAAGAACTTCTTATCTCGCTGCTACTCACTCCTTGTCCTTTCCTCTTTCAGAGCTCGAACGATGTAGTCAAATTAGGATAGTTTATGTACCAAGCCACCTATTCCATATGCTGTTCGAACTTTTCAAGAACAGCATGCGTGCAGTGATGGAACACCACAGCGCCAATGCGGAGTACCCAGCAATAGAAGTGATCGTATCGCGTGGTAAAGAAGATATTTGCGTCAAGGTAAGATTATACAAATCACTTCTCGGTTTCGCGAAAGATTATCTAACATTATCGATATACACAGAGCAGATTAACGCATTAATTGTGATCGATCATAATTTATAAATAAACGCTACTTGTAAATCAAATCTGACGTTACTCCAGCACTGATATCCAATATCACACTGTATCGGATATTCAATGCGAAACACGTTCGCAAACAAATCCTGACAGAATATTTTGAAATTAGGCGGAAAGATTAACAGGGAGTTTTATTTAATGCACCATTTTTGCAGATGTCTGATCGCGGTGGTGGCATCCCTCGCTCTCAAATGGATCATTTGTTTAAATATATGTACAGCACGGCACCAAGGCCAACTAGAACCGATGCTCATACTGTTCCACTTGCTGGATATGGTTACGGTCTTCCAGTTTCTCGGTTATACGCCAGATATTTCCACGGCGATCTCGTCCTCCAAAGTTGCGATGGATATGGTACTGACGCCATTATATATCTCAAGGTAAACATCGTGTCTTGTAATTTCAGAACGTCGTATTATATTGCGTTATTCTTCGTCGAACGAATGTTTCATTCTACAGGCTTTATCGAACGAAGCCAACGAGCTGTTGCCAATCTTCAACAAGACTTCCTCCAAGTTTTATCGAACTCAAGTCTCGAATACCGATTGGAGTAGCCAATGTGGAGGTGGTATGGCTACGAGGCAACTACGTATGAGTCATGTCCAAGGGCATAAACTTCCACGTGGAATGGAGATCAGGCATTGCTAGCGAAATTCCATCCCCATGGACCAAAGAATAGGAAAGTAGGTACTTGGATATTTATCCTGTAACTAAATCTTGTAGACAATACCGAAGGTGTTACCAAAATGTTATGATCTGTATCGGAATCTCTTTCAGTATTTCAGTGTTTCCTTTTTAACGAGGTGTTTCGCTAGCGAGCACTGATAGGATCAATGGAACGTCGGGGTTCGACAAATTGTTAATCAGGACAACTGCTTCTACCGTAGGTGACTCGGAAAGAGCCTCGTGATTTTCGTGTCACGATATGTAGAGAAGTAGCAACGATCTGCGATCGTGATCCTTTGTAATCGGGTACATATTTTTCAAGAAAAACAGTAGATGACTGGACGCGATGGTCGCAGCGATGTTATTGCTTCGTCAGAAACATAAAATATCTGACTACACGTTGTGACCGCGGTTACAATACCTACATATCATGATTATCGAAATTCAACAGCACTTCGCATGTTTCCGGGCTTTCTCTATTATTTTCTCTGTTCGTTACGCGTTCTTGACGCAACGACAAAAATGATGAAACGCATGAGGCACTCAGATAATTCGGAGTTCAATTTTTTCTTTTCCTTTATATATTTTAAAACTCATTCGTTATTTATTCTTCGATATTATTTCGCGACGAAATTGGAGCTTATAGTATAAGTTTAAGAACCGACTCTAAAAATTCTTGAAATATTTAATGAAAATTATGAAACTTATCTGGGTGTTTTATGAACGTCATTTTCCTTTTTATACCTACACACACGTGTGCCGAGCTTTCATTAAGTCAGCATTTTAATTACGTAAATAATTGTAAAGCATTTCTTTTGATTCGAGCAAGGAAAACTGTGCAAACGAACGTTCAACTAAACTTCACGATCGATCGATACGAAGCGAGAAAGAATTTTTCTTCTTGTTAGAGAAATTTTATAAAAGAATGCCATAAAGTATGAACTGTGATTTGATGCGTGATTTTAGTTAAATATAGCTAGACAAATTTTTAACCTATTGATATGCAACGCTGTGCGCGTTTGCCAACTTTAACTGTGCAAAGAAAAAGAAGAGGAATGGAAAGAAGAAAATATTGATAATTTAATGATTACTTAGGCGCGTGAGCTAGACAAAATGACATGCGAGTCAGGAGGGACTGGCTGAAGAAAGAATAACGATATTGATATTTACTTCATCCCCGGGAAAGTATTTTGTATACCGTGAACAAGCAAAAGATTTCTTACAGGACACTTCAGGTGCCCCAACTTTTCAATGAATTTTTATAAGGCTAAGCGAAAACAAAGTTTTGTACACGATAAATTTCGTTCTTCCCGAAGACCACGATTTTCGTACTTATCCCGTTTATATTCTAAGATATTTCACGTGCATTTTCTCCCAATCAACGTGTCAAATTCAGCCAGAAGGAACTCGAAGAAAATCAAGATGATGCAACATCGTCGCGTTCATGTATCTCTTTTCTTCTCTTATCTTTGCGTTCTTTTTTTTTTTTTTAAATACGAAACGGACGTCACTCTTGTATACTTTATTCAAAATTACGTAATAAAATTTTTATGTATTTGTTACGAGTAGAGCACGATGACATTTAGTTTTCACAAAGAAACAGGCACAACCCGCGTACCTTAGAGTACTGAACAATTTTTGAGTCTTTACTCCGTTAGGGTTATAATAAAGAGATTGCATAATTTACGTACGTATCCTGCACGTTTTCTACGATTTTCTATAATTTACCATCATTTCCAACGTTAAACGAGATTGCCTATATCACAAAGAGAACGAATCTAAAGGGTCGCAATCTGTTCCTGAAAGGCGATGCACCGTAACGTAAAATTGCATGAATCGTCTCTGATATCGAGAGGAAGCAATGTCACTTCTGCAAATGATTTTACATAAAATTCGACCCGTGAAAAAGTTTCACGGTATAGTTGAGAGTGTGCTCTACACGTTCTCCCGTGTATATAATTTTACGTTTTTAGCGCACTTGAAAGTATGTCTGTCTAGATGACAGACTCTAGCTGTATTAACAGACTGTAGAGATATTCGTGTGGTTAAACGCGAGTGAACACTTGTAAAACATTGTAAATAAACATATTACGAGATAAAAAATTGCCTGTTTTCTTTTACAGTTCATCGGGATTGCTTTTAAATGTCAATTAGCTATGCATGAACGGACCCGAAGAATTTGATTCGGTTTGAGACGGATGAAGCGCAAGGTTTCGACAGTATCGACTAGATTAACGAGTAAACACACAGAACAGATGTTGTAATGCATTGCTGTAGTTTTATTACGTTTGGCCATGCGTACCATAAGTGTGAGTTCGCTCTCGACAAATGTTTCTCTCTTACCGCACGCTTCTCTCGCTAAAAATAATAAAAAGTACATCTTATTAATAACAATAATTTTCATTTATAAAATAACGCTACCCTATGTACATGTCTGGCATCCATCAATGTATTCAGGTGACTCAACAGAACGTTCTACAAATTAGCATTGACAAGTAAAGCTCGCTCGCAATTATCATTGATCGGTCGGCGCCCATTCTTTTCCAATCTTCGAGGAACCGTACAATCGATGATAATTTACAAATCGGGTTTTAACCGGTTCAACGTTTGATTATTAAACCTTTTAAACCAGCAACAGCGTAACGATAAAGGAAAAGATAAATTGTCACGAATAAAAAACGCTTTATGGTCGCAATCGAGTAAAAACAAAAATTAAAACACGTCGAACAGAAAGATCGGGAAGAACTGGAAATAAATTACGGATAGAGTTCTAAGATAAACGATTTACAAGCGAGAAATAAAATCGATTAGCTGGAATTAGTGATCGAAGCTATTGTGGAACGGATTCGAAACGTTTGCGTCGTTGAGCGCGTTCAAAAGCCCTTCTCTCTCGTTTACTTTTGTTCTCATGTTTGGCACCGTCGACTTAACTCGTTCCCCTTTTTCAGCGACAAGAGAATGCGTTCGACTTTGAAGTAATTTACGGACCGATATTCCGATAAAAGTTTATCACAATAATAAAGTTCTTAGTGCGTGTCCTACAAGTTTGTGTACAAGTTGTCTCTCGATTGTAGATTCCAAAAAATACAATCTCGTATTCTCGTGTCTGCACGAATTTCCAAAAAGGTACACTAATGAATTGCACGTATCTTCGTTCGATTTCTGTCGTATGAAAATTAATTACACGCATCGTGGAGATTTCCTTTTAAAGCTATCAAGCGACTTTTCAGTGATCTGGGAAAATATTCCATTAGAATTCACGACGAAGAATGTACACTTCGTCCTACTGATCCTTCCACGAGCGAGATCCAGTCGAAAAATATCCATTCGCAATCAATCGGTAAAAGGTGTTGAAGATTCTTCACAAAATTTTGACACGTTCGTCGCGTAGACGGTGGTAATAATTTCGCGAGGAAAAATAATAGAGAACAAAACGAGTTTACGCATGATTCAGAAGTTTTTCGACGGATTCCGCTTTCGTTCTCCTGCACCTGGTCAAATGGGATCTCTCGATCAGGCAAACAACTATTGCTAAAACTTCCTTAAAGTGTTTTTCAACGATTCATCTATGCTACAATGTATATACAGCATGGCAGTGATTACACACTCTATATTTCCTTGCCGTACAATACACGTGCTACCAAAAATTTTGCGACTTTAAAACTGCTTGATTCGAGTCTATAAAGAACCTCCTACTCCTCGGTTCGCAAACCTTCCTGCGTCGACCATTGAAATTTAATGTTCCGACTGATTTCAACTATACTTCGTACGAATCAAGCGAAATGTTATTCGGCGAGGATCAACGTAAACGTACATACTTGTCGGCCTACTTATAGAACGTACTTGCCATGCTTTGTCAACGTTAGAAAGACAAATTTCTCTGACAAATCACAAAATGCGCCTGTTTATTACGTCTACGCATCTCTCCACCTTGTCAAACTAATCCGATGGTGATTTCATCAAAAGCGAACGCAACAAGTCCTCGGAAGTTCACCTGAATTGACAACTTCTATCCGAATATGAAATTTGGTCGAGAACAAGTCTGAAAGGATGTGACCGTTGTTTAATCCCACGGAAATTGCTTGTGACACTGACGAGTCTTAACAATTATCGAATTACAAGAATTCTGCGATGAAACGATCTAGCGATCCTTCAGGTGAAATTCGTATAGCCTTCGTGCGAATGCGGATAGTTCCGTTCTAAATTATTTTTCTTTTCCTCGATGTTCTTTTCTCGTGCACGTAGAAAAATAAGGGAAACGAACTGTCATTTAATACGGAGACAATAATGAGCGCCTTGTGATTGCGAAAGGTATGTGTAATTTTTTTACGGTTAGTAATTACGCTCGGTTACATTCCTCGTACGACATTAGTACAATTATTAATTAATCTAGGACATATGCACTACTCAAATAGATACTTTATAATAATTATTCTTTATAGTCTATCAAAATATTCATCACAGTGCTACGGACACAAAATTGTGTTCTGTTTATACGTGTAAATAATGATTCTTTTTCTTCGAGCAGGAAAAGTCGCGTAATCCAGCCACTCGTTGATCGCAAGCTACATTACATACTTCACACGAAAGCGTGTTCTTAGATTTTCCTTTATCTCGCTCCCTCTATCTCACTTTCTCTTTCTTTTTCTTTCTTGCTTTTTTTTTTTTAATAAAATAAACGACGATTTCAACCGTCTTTCAATTTTCTTCTGAAAATATCAACGAATCGATAAATGGCATCTATTTAAATTACACTTTAAACGATTTTCTAGATCACATATTTCTCTGTTCATCTTTTGTACAATAGTTTGAGGATTCCATTAATGTCAACGAGAGACCCGATTCTTGATATTTTCTATGCTCGTATCACTTATTTCATCTTCCATTTTTTCTTTTTTTTTTTCTTTTTCCTTTTAAACGTAGAGTGCTACACACACATGACAGTATCATCCCGTTTAAAAAATTCTTATTCGACTTTACATATGACTTATATTTACAACAATAAATTGAGGAGATGGCCTTCCAAGGAGATCGTCTAGCTTCTAATTAAATCGACGAACTCGCGTAGCTAGAAACTATGTTCGTTTCCATTAGAAAGAACGTGATTAGAACGAACGTTCATTCGCAACTAATATGAAAGACAAAAATTCAAAGCGACAATCTTCGCCAGAAATCCAAAGACGCTTCTCGTGCGTACGAATCGAATTCATCGTAGAACTACAAACTTCGGACAAAACTAAAAATTTCGATCCAAACAACGAAACTAAAATCAAAGAAACCTTCGCAAGCTAACGTTTAATGCACGCGTTGTTTTCGCGTTAAAAATAACATTACCGATAAATCGAGAAGAAAGAAAATAAATTGGAGATAAACAATAAGAATGTTTCTTACTGAAGCGGCTTACAATATTCCCCTTAGTATGCCTTTCTCCTTACTCATCTGAAATATTTCGTCCAAGAAAAACAATCTTTTCTCCTGAAACTTCCTCCCAAAAATTTCCACCTTCCAAACACTTAAATTCCCATGTCATTTTCATTGCGAAAATCATCTCAAAATATGATTACCTCGATAAGGATTTCCAATATATGTTCTTTTTTTTGCGAAAAATGGTCTTACTGTACTACAAAAATCGTTTTCGGCTCAACCATTTCTTTTTACAACCTTCTTTCCTCCCCTCGTGAAGACCATTTCTACAAAGGTTTTATCATCGAATTCCATTCGCGATCATTCCTCAACGGAGAAAGGTTCCTTTATCGAAGACCCAGAAGTCTTTCTTGGAAGTGGCGCCTCGAGAGATTTTGTCTTTCTCTTCTTCTCTGAATTACATTATATTTTTTTGTGTTTTTTTTCCTTTTTCTTTTCTTTTTTTTTTTTTCTTGTAATGTCGAATCCCAAAGAATGTCGTTAATTCTAACGATTAATGGCCACACTGTTCCTTAAAAAATGATACATCGTCCCTGAAAATCTATCTGGAATTCTCAAAAAACTGGTCTCTGGTTAAACCTCTGCGTGAAGGGGACTAGGCGAGCGGAGTGACTGACAGCAACCCCATGGAAAGAGCCACGTGGCTCAGCACCTTGGCGAAAATTTCGGGTTGGTAGGGCCATGAATGTAGCTTCGTAGTTCCTTTGGTGGCTCTGACCCGAAATCCGACGCAGTGTCAACGTCGGACTTGCGACAAATGATCATACGAATGTCCGTATGCAAATAAATCCGGCCAGACTTACCGGACATAAATCTGGAAAGAAACATCCGATTTTAGCACCGCAACGTAAGATTTCCATTTGCATGCGGATGTTAATCAGTTGTCGAACAGGCTCAATGAAGCTTTAGTTTGTTACAAATCAGCCGCAAAGATGGGCTTGAAAGAAGCGTGAAATAGCAAAAAACTGTCACAAAAAGAAGGAACGTTTAAAAACAAGAAAACTAAATAATCGTGGTTTCCGTTTATCATTAATTTCGTGCTGTTACATTGATAATTGTTTCTCGATTGACGCGTTTAATCGACGATATTGTTACATTTTTATTCGGTTAAACGATTTATGCACGCGACAACGAAGTTTGTACAAGGAAACCTGGATTATTTTTATGAACACTGGTCATGAAAGCTTCAAAACTTTAATTAACGAGATGGAAGGTATCCCTTGGCCATGGGTAATTAAAATTTCAAAGTTTACGAAATGGACAAAATTGAACGTTTCTAGTAGAAACATAGATGTACGCACCTAAGATGTACGAGGTAGCGTAGTGTTTTGTCCCGCAGTGTTCTCTGACGTAAAAAAGTATGAGATCGTGGTGGCATATCAGAAAGATCGTATAGTACTACGAACATCTTAACGACAGTACCCAAAGGATTGAGAAGCGTTACTTGAATAGTACCGCTTCTTGGTACTTGGTAGCCCTTTTTGCCCAAATTAATATGTGCCTAGGCAAAAGTAACAGGAGTCGTTTCATCAATGTCCCGTTACACTCTAAATATATCATTCAAACACAACAATAACAACAAAACATTTCCGTCAAAATGAGATAAAAAACACAGAAAAGAGGAAAAAATTGCCAATTCGTAATGGATCAAGAGTCTAAAAACAAAAAAAAGAACAAAAAATAGAAAAAGGAAAAAACAAATAACAAAACTCAAATGAAACAGAAAAATATAAGAGGAAAGAAGAATACGTATACGTACGAGATAGGGCGTAGAAACTTTATCATTGTCACCGAGCGTATAGAAGAACACAGTGACTGGAAGCTTTCGATGTTTCGGACAGAACGAACCGCTGGCACCCAACTCAGCCGTGAAACCATGAACGGTGGACACGGGCTCGAGTCTACCGTTTAAAGCCGATTCCTCGAAGCTGCCTAGAAGGGCATGACTCTGAGGTCTGCTGCGAGAAGTCGAGCGTCTTTTTGGTGTCTCCTCTCCTTCGCCGGCATTCTCGGTCTCCCTGTCAGTTTCCTCTAAGGACACTGCACCTGGACTTGGCGGAGTGTTCAGTTCAAACAGAGCACTGAAACAACAAAAAGCTCGTCTCACCGAAAGAGCTTCTTCCCAGCCACTTTTCACTATCCTATCCAATTATTCAAATTATCTCCGTACCTTCTTTTCGAGGAGACGGAATTCAAACTGCTATCGTAATCGAAGCAACAGCTGCCTCTTCTCAACGGGGCTGGACTGGATGTTAAGGGCAGGCCAGTTCTACTGTGGAACACCATCGAAGCTGCGTTCTCCAAAGACCGCCGAAATCTTTCTTGCTCGATCGCGGTTGGTACCGCTTTGTCCACTGTTTCGTCTTCCTCTGTAACAGCGTTGTCCTTGCCGAGACCGTGGTTTCGAATCTTCTTCCCGACGTTCGAAACAGAATCTTTGCAAAGCTTCGATACAGTATCATCTTCCTCCTCTTCGTGCTCGGTTACGCTATCTTCTCCGTTTGTACTATGCAGTCTGTTTTGCCACTTGGACGTCTCGACTTCGTCGTAGTCGCAGCTATCCTCCTTGTAATTTGTACTATAGATTCGTGAGTTTTGATGTGCGCCATTTGTACTAAGCTCTAAAGGATCGGGGCACGCGTCACGCTTCTCCGTTTCTTCGGCAAAGTTCGAGAAGTCTATTCTTCTCTTGGCTTTGCTATCCCTGAAGTTCTTTGGATCGTGCAGGCTGGGCTGGACGTTGTTGTACGAGTACGAACGTTGACCTGTCTGTTGGATCACGTCCTGCGAATTATCCTCTGACGCCAAACTTATCTTCTTCTCTTGCTCCTTTTTGAAAAGCTGTCGGAACCGATTAAATCTCTTGTTGAACGCCATAGGCAGAGACTTCTCGTCCTCCAATGGCACAGTTTTCTGTTCCTGATATAGTTTCTCGCAGGCCTTGCTTTCCGTTTCGTTGGCGATCGTTGGCAACACGGACCTCGATTTGGTCCCATTGGAAATTTCCGATTGGTTCCCTCGGTCTTTGCTAGTTCGTAAAATTGCTCCCAATAGTATGTCTGCTTTGTTCGAGACGTTTTGCAAACAGTCCACGGTGTCGTTCGTCCGTTTCTCGGAGTTATTGCGTTTCATCGCCTGTAAATCTTCGTTCGATCCATTGCTATCGAGTTTCTCGCGTTTCTGAGGATTATAAATGTTCTTATTGCCATAGATTTCACCGTAATTGGTTTTCTCTAAAGCTTGTTGGTCATTTTTCCTACACAACTTGTGATTACAACCTTCGCAGGACCTCGTGCGATTCACCATGTTATTTGTCGAGCACTCGTTGCTCTCCAAATTCCCGTACTTGCCTACCGACTTGTCTGTTCCATCTTCGATCGCCTTATCCAACCTCTCTCGTCTCTTCATCGTCCTCACGCTTGTCCTTTTGCGTTCAGACGGTGTCCTGGCCCTCAAAACGGCCAAGACCTCGTCGACTTCCTGCTGGCTTAGCTCCAAGTTGCAATTTTTAAATCTCACTTCGTTCCCATGTTGTTGCTCCTGACTCTTCATATTCGTAGCTTTCACCTTATTTTCCACGTAACCGTTGTTTGGCGTAACCCCGAGAACTCGGCCAGGGACCTTGCTGAACCAATCCAAAATGCCTCCTTCCTCCTTTGATCTATCTTTATCGTCGGGAAAGGACAACTTCGATATCAAGTGACTTAGATCCTTTCCAGATCTCCCTTTATTGTTGGTACCCCTGTCCAACTCCGACTCCAGAGCTTCCTGTCCAGGCGATACCGCGTCAGTATTCGACAGCTTGTTGGACGATTTGACGCAGCTTTGATGTACCATACAGGTGGAGTTTGAAGAATCCTGCTTCAACCGATTATTCGTCGAAGGACCTGGATTTGATTCGTGGAAAGGACTGGGTTGTCTAAAGGGATTGATCACAAGACTCGAATCCTTGCTGACCGGCGGTTTGCAGGTTCTCTCAGAGTCGTTGAAATAACCATCTTTGTTTCCGCGAAGGCTCTGAAAAGCACACTTTCCATTTGCACTACTATTATTCCAAGACTCAACAAAAACCCATGGCAACGAAGAATTGAATGGTATCAGATTCTCAAATAGCCCATTTTTTTCCGCAGATTTTATTTCCGTTTCCTTTTGCTTCTTACCTAAATTGCACTGCTTTTCTTTGCAATTCGACAGCACCTTCGGTTCAGAATCTTCGATCGTTCGTTTGTACCGCTTCTCTAAATTACCTTCTCGTTCCTCGATGTTCAGCTGCGCCTTGAAGCAACGTTCTAAATTATCGGAATTCAGATTCTTTCGGTTCTTGATGGTATTCTCCTCGAACTTGCAATTCTGGCTTTGCACAGACTTGACGCCACGATTGTTCGTTATCTCGGAGGAACATTTCGGGTAGCTCGAACTCTGGGTGCCCTTCGATTTTTGCGTTACAGCTTCCTGTACCGCAGGCAGAGGTATCGATTGAACTGTCACACAGGTGTTTGCCTCTGTAGGTCCACAAGGAAGCGACCGACGACGCTTTCTCTCGCGATTCTGTCGCGGTATTGCTGGCGATGGTGGTGCAACGTCCTCCTCCTCGCAGGGACAGTGATGTTTTCCGGGCTTGTTGCAAGGCGTTTGCAGTCTGTCGTCTACCAAAGCTGTTTCAACAAAGCAATTTCGTTTCGCGACCTGTTTAGGCTGCCATATTCGGCTCACTTTATCAGACATTTTCGAGCATCAGCTTCGTTACTTTATTAATGATTCTAAAAACAATGACAGAAGGAACATATGCTTTATTAGGTAATCTAAAAGAGAGAAAAACACAAAAGAAGAAAAGATGAATAATTCTCCCGGAATAGATAGACAAAGGTGATACTCGAACGTTGAAATATCACGCCGATCGATTCAAATTCCCCCCTCATTACCAGGCAAAACGAGGCCTTCAGGATTTTGCGCAGCACTGGGAACCGGGATAGCCTTGGTGGGTGTCAAAGCCCTTGCGACACCCTCGTCGTCTTTCTCTTTGATCGGGTGCAATGGGCAGGTGAGAATCGGCACCTCCTCCATCCTCGGCAGTGCCCACACGGTGACCTAAAATTTACACGAGAAATCCTCTTCAGCTCCATTAAATGCAGTCGCGGTACTCGGAACGAGATTGGGTAGCCGGTGACTCATCTGCTGGTTAAAAGTAGGCATTCGTTAGTGTCCTCGAACCACCAGAATAGAACCGTGGATGGTACTCCGAGTACGTGGACGAGAGAACCACCATGCGAATTACATGGACAGTTCGAGGAACATTGACCTCGCCTTTATCGCGAGTCGAACGCGTCATTTCGAACGTTCCCAGCTAGCTGTTGCTTGCCAGAGAATCCCTGGATCGATTAAGAACATCTATCTTCATCCAAGGAGCTTTCGTACGTTTTAACGCCAATACAAAGGACAATGATTTTTATTAAACGAATCTATGACAAGAACGAATCCTCATATGTGAAACGATATTAATGGAAGGCTTTACTTTTCATTTTCCCAATTGATGACAATGTTCCTGGATTAGGGTAAGTGGGTGATTTAAAACGATAACGGGGGGAGGGAGGTTGTTAAATTAATTTCTTTACTTTTATGGAATTTCCATCGCCGTTACCAGCCAAGGGAAACGTATGCTCCACAGGGGATTCCCGGAACTTTCTCAGATTTTCCTCGTTATGGGGCACTACTCTCGTCACGATGTAGCTAGGATCGGTGCCGTTGCTCCTGGACCACCAAGCAGCAACCTGGCTGAAGTGAAGCCGCGAACGAACTGCCTGATATAGTCCGTAGTAATTCATGGTCTCTGGACTCCTGGGGGTGTAATATGGTTTATTCCACTCGTTAATACGATTCCACCGAATGTCTCGGCACGATCCGTAGTAAAATTATCTCATTGCCGCCGAGTAATCACTTACTTGCTGGGAACGACGCAAACGCACCAATACTCCAGCAGCATCTCCGACGCTTGTTGCCATGGTGAGATTGATAAGGACGGCACGGTGCAGATCGGATTCTTGTTCGCAGATTTGGCCAAACCGCATGGACAGTCGCTGCACAACACTACCTCGATGCACAGGAACGTACCAATTGCAATACGGTCCGCGATCTCTCGAACGAGCACAAGATACCGATCACACTGGGCAGATAATACGAGAAACGATATAAAAGATATATATATATATATATACCTGACAGAAATTTCAAATGATGCGTCTTTCGCGCATTACATTCCTAACGGTTCGATTCTACTTTTGAAAGGAAATGTACGCGTTGGTAGGAACAGTTACATATGCATATAAAGAAGATCGCAGAGACGATTCTGTTACCAAGTAATTATCTTCTTCGCACACGTGGTCGTTTGGCACCGTCTGCATAGGCGCTGCGCAATGTGGGCCCTCTTTGTATCCACGTGGAGGGCCCTGAATCCTCCCTTCGCACACAAGGACTCCAAGGGCTCGGAACACGCTAAGAATGCCACCCCGACCGCCAACCCCATTTGGGCTGGGAATGCCTCCTGTCACCGCACCTAGGCAGTGCATACCTGCAACGGAGAAAACGTTGCGCCATTAGTAAAATGCATCTCTTCTGGAAAATTCGTTAAGCGAAGGAAAAGGGGAAAGAACGGGAGACGAAGATAAACGCTCGGGGTAATGAATTGGTGCAAAGCGTTCGACGACTGAAATAACGTTTTTCCATCGGAAACTAGCACGAACACGAACCTGTGCGCATTCTCCTTCTGTGGAAGCAATTTCCAACGCACTGCAACAGGATCGTCGACATTTTCGAGAGCTGCCTCTCGGGGGAATGAAAACTGGAACGATTCGCGCACGACCTCCGCTATCGTTAATCTTAAGCGCGCCACCACGACGGATCATGCTTCGAGCCTGGCTCAGGTACTTTTCTCGCGACGTCTTTATCGGAGAAACGTACTTTGCTCTTCGAGTCGGTCATGCTCGCAACGAAAACCGACATGCGTCACCTCCCTCTTCCTCTGTGAATCACGTCGAGTAAAAAAATCTTACGTTCATTACGTACTCCTGCTTCATTGACTCATTGCTCTATTGAACCCTACTTCATCGAGTGTCCCACGGAAATAGAACCCTGTACCCTGTGCACTCTCTTTATCTCAAACCAGCGATTTTCCTCTGTGAATGGCGCTAATCGCTCGAACGTTCAAAGAAAGAGCGTAAAAGTCATAGGAGCTGAAAATCGCACTTGTACGGCATCGAGATATCGGCGGCTGAACAGAGATACGATGGCCAGGCTTTCGTACGGTTTTTCTCGTTTCTTTTCACCTGACATCCGATCCGAGATTTCGTCGTTCGTCTTCTGCCGGTCATTATGTAAAGGTGAATACGCAGGAGGGCGATGGGCATTATTTATAACTTTGCCCGCCGCCATATGCGGCGAAAGCGACCAACCGGATTGGCTTCCTCGCCGCTTTCCTCCGAGCGTTTCAGCATTCGAGCGAACCAGCACGGAGTACACTCGGTTCCTCGCTGCTTATCCGCCGATGAAAAACGCGAAAATCTCTCCGGTAACGTGCTTTACTCTTCGAGGAAGACGCGATAAACTCGATGGAAATTATCTCGTAAACCTTGCAAGCTCGACGAGAGAAATATCTTGTCCAGGAACGTCCTCCTCCGCGCGTACTTTCCAACTAGCTGCTGCTGAGAGCAGCTATTCCTGGCTGTTCAATCCAGGCGAAATCTCTCTTGCGTTTTTCGATGCCGTTCACAGTCACTTTGGCTCTACGGAGGAACTTCTCTCTTCGTTTATAAAAAAGTCTTTCGAGCATCTGCCCGTTCGTCAAACTCGGCACGTCGCACGCGTGCCAAGGAAAATAAACGGCAGATTCTCCGAGTGGTTGAAAAATCGTTATCCGGGACGAGGAAAAAATCATTCGACAGATAAGATCGCGTGGAGCACTCTCGAGGAAACAACGGCGGAAAAACCAACGAGATTGCACCTGAAACGTTTCCGCAGCCTGCGGAAATTTCTCACACGATAACACCTCGGTAACCGCAACCCCCGCAACAAATTCCCCCCGTTTATCGCGCGGATCTGTTGCTACATATATAATTTGAAAAGCAGAGGAAACGATTACACCCGGCACGCAGCCCCGACCCGCGATTAGGCAACGCGAAAAGAGTGCCGGGGAGTCAGAGCCAGTCGGAGCGACTCGTGCGAGCACGACGAGGAATTTGAATAAAGAACAGCGCGGCACCGGCTCTCACACTCGCGTCTTTCACGTGTGTCGAGGGTCTGTGTACAAGGGAGAGCTTGTGGGGCTCCACGAGGGTGATCGTACTCGGGTGTCATGCGCAAAAAGTTCGCAACCCTTGGCGAAGTCCTTTGAGAGACGCTATCAGGATTAAGAGGCAACCTCTGGCGTCGGGATAGATTTTTCGCGTAAACGGGAAAACAATTCGATCCAATCGCCATCGAGCCGGTTCGAAAATCCTGCGACAGATCGAACGCTCGTCCTTGGATCTCGATCCTGGCACGGTAGAGAGTATTCGTCGCCTTAAGTGGCATCGGGGTCTTGGAATAATCTACTCGCGACAAAAAATTGCTTTATACCGCTTCTAATCGCGTCGTCCGGTAGTCTGGAAGAGCCGATAATCTGTTACTGAAATCTTGTTAGCACCGGGCACTGTCAGACTTTTCTCGTATAATTAGTCGCTCTAAATCCAGCGGAGTAAGTCGACCGAACCGTGACGATATCGCGGTTCCTGGTAAACAGCGTTCTTAACCGAGGCTACCCGAGAGGCTGGTTCTTAAACGATACGATGATGGAACGAGGATGAAGCTACATCGCGTAATCCGGCGATCGATCAGGGATGAAAAGGAGACGGGAATTCGCTACCTCTCGAGATAGCGATATATCATATTCCTTTCGAGGAACAAAAGCAGACTCTGCTCCGAACGGTTCGGCAGCGGTGTCCGGTAAGAAACGAGGAGAAACAGTTATCGCGTAGCCAGTGCGACGGTGTAGAAAAGTAAGTTCAAAGCACTTGCTTCATTTCGGAGCTTCGTGAGCGACGATCGGGGAGGCTGGCAATTTCGAGCAAGACCCGAAGAAGCGACTCAAAGCGAAAGTTGGATCGCGCGATCAAAGAGGCGGGTAGGGTTTCGGGATGGTCATTGGTCGAGGGGCAAATCGTTCGAACCTCGAAGAAGACCTTCGCAAAAGCAAAGGAAAGGGGTTGGCGTTGCGGAATAAAAAAGGCTGAGGTCGTGGAAGCTACCAGGCGTGCATCAGCGACGCGGGAGGCTGAGGGAAAGGGCGATGCGCTCCTGGTGCAGCACGGTGTGAATGCACCGGCTGGTCCAGCTGAGAAAACACCGGCCTGTTGGCGCCAGTATTATCCAGCACGGAGTAAACAAGCTGCGGCAATTATTCGGGCAAACTTACTTTCGCGACTGATCCTTCTACTTTCTCGGATCAAGCTGCCAACGCGGTTGCTCCCGATCGCGTCGACCTTCGTTTATTCCCAATAAACGTCGCGCGATCCTGCCACTGGGAATCCTGCGAATAATAGCTCGTTCGTTGGGAACAATGGGGAAAAAAAAGAGAAAGCGGAGAAGGAAGCGCATAAGAGCGAGCCTTTTGGAAACTCAATGGCAACTCGGTTGCAAAATCCTTGGCTCGCGCGAAACGCGAACTTGGAGAAGTTGCACGAGCGTCGGGGAAGGTTTTACAATGCAATCGGCTAACAAACAAGCAGCCGTTATTAGTCACCAAACGACTATCAATTATCACGATCCACATGTCGGCTATTACAGACGGAATTGCTCGAGCAGTTTGGTTGGCTGCGAAGCAAAGCTATCGCGTTCTCGGAGACCGCGGCGTATAGGAGGAACAGGGAGGATCGAACGACGCTGTTTCGAGACGATAAAGATTATCGAATGGGTGTCGTTGATATAAAAGGTACTGGGAACTTTTATGCACGACTTCTGCGTAAGATAAGCGAAGGAAACGTCTCGCCACTGTCGGTTTACCGTATTACATTTCGATAGAAGCTTTGTCGCGCAGGGCCCCCGGTCGCTGTTCGCTCCTCGATGATTTGCGACTCGTTAAAGGCGAGCTCGTCTTTTTCGCGCAAAGCTGCTTTTGCCTTAACGAACGAGATATATCGCACGGAATACATCACGCTCGCTGACCGATCGAAGTCCCTGACAGCAAACCAGACGAGACGAAGTATACGCGGACAACGCCAAGTGCGCGTTAACTTCTGCATATACGCGACAACGAAGCGTGAAATTTACGGTTGAAACGCGTGTGTAAACGCATTAACAGAATTACACGGCTTCCAGAGCTGCCTACTAATTCCATTAACCAAGACGATTTTTCCTCTCTCGTATCAATTATTCCCTGGCATAATTTCCCTTCCCCTCGTTGTTCCGATAACACGGATAGCTGCTAGCTACCCTGTCCTCGCTCGAGTTTCGGCTGTTTCCGAATAATTTCGCGAACACGACGCGATCGATGCGATCGACATCCAGGTTGTCGAGAAATCTTGACACCGATTGGAGTTGCTTTCATCGAACCAGCGAATATCCAGCAATTTCGAATGCAATGCATGGAAGCCGAAGTAGAAGGGAGAATTAAAGGTCGCCCTTGCGCGATTCTTCGAGCAGACGGACTAGAGAACACATGGTGGAAATTGAGACCACGTTGTTGCCGAAATAATTGGTCACAATCAGCGACATCCGGCTAGTCAGGGAGCAAATAACACGAGAAATTACAGGTTCCCGACTATGACAATCCATCGTAATGTGTAACAGTAAAATTTGTTACGTCTGCGGCGTCATTACGCCTTATTGCGGTGAGCTCGGCCCGTCGCGGTGCTGAATTAGAAAGCGCGTTTTTGCAGACGGATCAGGAGCGTACATCGTTAGCGTTTCATTAACGAAACGGCAAGCTTCTCAGGGGGCAATAAATGTCTCGCGATTTAACAAGCGTTCAGTTTTTAACCGGATACGAGGAAAGCCAGGAGCAGGCAGCTGGTAAAAAATGCAGAAGATCCGTTAGCCGGCTAGTTGTTTTATTCCCGTTCCCGTGTAAACTGAAAGCAGCAAATGGCACAAAGGCGGCGGCGCGCTCGCGTTTCCCTTTCATTTTGCACCGTCAGCCGGAAGCTTTTCGCGAAATCTACCGGCAGGAAAAGAAATTTTTCCGGAACCACCCGGACAAGTAATTAGAATCGAGGAAAAGAAACCGAGTGAATTAATTTCAACCACTTGCGCGCCGTTTCAACGGCTGTTTACTCTCCTAACTCCATCTTCCAGTCCCCCGTTCCACGCTCTTTTTCCTTCCCTTTCCTCTTCTCCTCTTCTTTCTTGTCTCTCTATCGCGAAAACTCCTGCTCCGATACTCGAAACACGGTTAAATTTATGCCGCGGATACACCCGTTGCTCAATGAGATCGCTCGAATCCGATATCGACGCTTTTCGCGCAGACAACGAAGATCAGTGCGCGCGCGACTCGAGCAACTCGCGATAATCATGAATCGGCGAATCGTTTCGAACGGGGAC